AACAACAAATACATCAACAATGAGGTACAATAAACATCAAGGATGTGGTACAGAAACGAACACAAGAAGAAACTGGTACATCAACAAAAACATCAAGAATGTGGTACAGCTACAAAAACATCAAGAATATGGTACAAAAACAAATCGGGTACAATAACAAACACATGAAGAATCTGGTACAACATAACAAAAACACATCAAGAATCTCATACAACAACAAACAATCTGGTTCAACAACGTGAATAATTCAGTTCAACAACAAATACATCAAGTATCCCACACAACAACAAACAAACAAACAGTCTGGTTCAACAACAAACACAAAAAGAATCCCATAAAGCAACAAACATATGAACAATCCAGTTCAACAATAAACACATCAAGAATCCCACACAACAACAAACATAGGAACAATCCAGTTCAACAGCAAACATATCAAGAATCCCACACTATAACAAACAAATGACCAGTCTGGTTTAACAATAAACACATTAAGAACCCATACAACGACGACCACATCAGAAATGTGACACAACAAAGATCAAGGACATGACAGAACACCAGCAGGCACAAAAGAAAAAAAACCTTGACAATGTGACTTGTTGGAAACTATATTGGTCCACAAGAAATAAATTACAGTAAAAATAAGATAAAGTTCATGGTTATACAATGACATACAGACAGACAGACATATGGACAGACTGCTAGGTCTGGCTATCACAGGACAGGCTAATATATCAGGCTTGCTTACGGTCCTGATTATATTCTAATGTATGCCAAAATGTACACCAAACATGTAGTCACACACGTCAAGTCTATGTTATATACATATAGTATGGAATGCTAGGACAAGCAGTCAATCACACATACACATACGCACATATATGTTTTAGAGGTGATGAGTTGTGCCAGGATAGGAATGTGGGTACAGTGGTGATGTGTGGAATTACTAAAAGAATGGCAAAGCACAGAAACAAAATCACACAGCCTGTAAATGAAGGCAGCCAACAATAGAGGTCTGTAGTGTTGTTCCTAGTGCACCATCACTAGACATGCCATCAGCTGCCTTTTCTGCCCATCCACTTCTGGATATCTGGCAACTGCAAATCCACTTCTGGATATCTGGCAATTGTCCATCCACTTCTGGATATCTGACAACTGTCCATCCACTTCTGGATATCTGACAACTGTCCACCCACTTCTGGATATCTGACAACTACCCATCCACTTCTGGATATCTGACAACTGTCCATCCACTTCTGGATATCTGACAACTGTCCATCCACTTCTGGATATCTGGCAACTGTCCATCCACTTCTGGATATCTGGCAACTGCCCATCCACTTCTGGATATCTGGCAACTGTCCATCCACTTCTGGATATCTGGCAACTGTCCACCCACTTCTGGATATCTGACAACTGCCCATCCACTTCTGGATATCTGACAACTGCCCATCCACTTCTGGATATCTGGCAACTGTCCACCCACTTCTGGATATCTGGCAATTGTCCACCCACTTCTGGATATCTGACAACTTTCCACCCACTTCTGGATATCTGGCAATTGTCCACCCACTTATGGATATCTGACAACTGTCCATCCACTTCTGGATATCTGGCAACTGTCCATCCACTTCTGGATATCTGGCAACTGTCCATCCACTTCTGGATATCTGACAACTGTCCATCCACTTCTGGATATCTGGCAACTGTCCATCCACATCTGGATATCTGGCAACTGTCCATACACTTCTGGATATCTGGTAATTGTCCACCCACTTCTGGATATCTGGCAATCTAAACAAGCCTAGTCTTTGAGGCAGCCACATTGACTTCATGATAAGACAGCCCAACCAAATGACAGAGAAAAGTTTAGCCTGTTAGAGATCCATTACAGCCAAGTTTCCTTGTTGAGACGACACCTGATTGATTGATTAACATCTGATTCGTTTATGAAATAACAGCTGGGGGTTGGTAATCTGGAGCTTGTCCTCACAAAACCAGGTGATGACACTGGCCAAGGACCTAGTTTACGGCTCTGTGACATCACCTACCCACAGACCAAAGTCCAATTCTGATAATTGTTGCAAAGATCACCAAACTCCACAGTCATAAGTACCAGTCTAGCACACCTTCAATAGATACCAGCCACTGCTGAGGTTCGCATGACTTCACCAACACATCCTCTGACTTGAAAGTTCTCAGCTGAGTCACCAAGAGACCAGATCACCAGCCTGTATATTTGTGTGTACAGAATCTAGGACTACACATTAAAGCATCAAGGCAGCAGGTCAAGCCCCTTGGCATGCCTTCAAGGACCCCAGGTACAAGCTAGACCCATGATTTCCTAGACCCATGTTTTCCCCAGACCCATTGTTTCCTACACTCATGATTCCCCAGACCAATGGTTTCCTAGACCTATGGTTTCCCCAGAACCACTGGCCATTGATGTGGTGATGTGCTCAACATCCTGCTGGGCACCATGACTTCACAGGACATTTCTTGGAACCAGCTGGGGATACCTGTGAGATCAGATCCATCTGTACCCTGGCGTTTATTTCAACCATCGTCAAATAGGGCAGTAACCAAGCACGACATCCACTGCTCTCAAGAGGCATCTAGTAGTTTCATTAAATGACTAACTAATCCATTTATGTAATTCTCAGACACAAGGGAAACTCCATTAACGTAATCCTCACACACAAGTGAAACACCATTAATGTAATTCTTACACACAAGGGAAACATCAATAATGTAATCATTACATAGAAGCTAACATTACTAATCGGCTAACATTTGAGTTTGACAACACCAAGTGACCACATGTGGACTAGCTAGATCTGCAGCTTAAAAAATCTATCGGTCATCAAGGAGCTGGCTAAGGGAAGCATGTTACGCTGTCAATCACGCCACACATACAAAACAAAGTACATATAAAACATAAAACATGACATAGACATCAAACATGATCTTCCACAACACAGCAGTCAATTACTGTCCAGCTAAAGCAACATCAGGGCAAATGCAGATAAGATTTTTTTAATGATGGTTTTTTTGTGTCTGATAGTGGTTGGGGAAATTGACAGACACTGCATCCAGCTGCTTTGTCTTGCAATTTTAAACCAAATAAATAAATACAGGCAGAATACAGACATCAGCAAGTCTTGCCAGAATCAGAACAGACACACAACCAGCCCCTGCTGCTTAATCTTCACAGCATCAAACCAGAGTGTGGAAAAGTCTACAGGTGTGGTGAACTAATGTTCCATTACCACACAGATACAGACAATACATAATATTGAACCTTGATTACACAAGCTACAGTGTGCTAGATTTGTTAGGTGGGTACAAGTATACTAGAACTCAGTCAACCATTGGTCATAACAAGCACAGAGATGAGCTTTGGGAAACAGGCTCACCAGAACACAGAGCAGACCCAACACTCTACATAAGTGTCTACACTCTAACATCTGAACTCAGAGCAGCCCCAACACTCTACACCAATGTCTAACATCTGAACACAGATCAGCCCTAACATCTACACTAGTGACTATGATCTACATTTGGTCAAATTAGTTTATCAGACAATATACAAACATCTACACTAGTGTCTACTCTCTAGCATCCGAACATAGAGCAGCCCCAACACTCTACACTAGTGTCTACACTCTTAACATCTGAACATAGAGCAGCCCCACCACTATACACTAGTGTCTACACTATAACATCTGAACATAGAGCAGCCCCAACACTCTACACTAGTGTCTACACTCTAAATCTGAACATAGAGCAGCCCCAACACTCTACACTAGTGTCTACACTCTAACATCTGAACATAGAGCAGCCCCAACACTCTACACTAGTGTCTACACTATAACATCTGAACACAGATCAGCCCTAACATCTACACTAGTGTACATTTGGTCAGATTAGTTTATTAGAGAATATGCAAACATCTACACTAGTGTCTACATTCTAACATCTAAACATAGAGCAGCTCCAACACTCTATACTAGTGTCTACACTCTAACATCTGAACATAATGGAGCACTAATATCTACACCAGTGTCTACATCTGGTCAGATTAGTCTATCAGAGAAAAAACAAACATTTACACTAGTGTCTACACTCTAACATCTGAACAAGAGTACTCTTAACACTCTACACTAGTTACACTCTAACATCTGAACATAATGGAGCACTAATATCTACACCAGTGTCTACATCTGGTCAGATTAGTCTATCAGAGAATAAACAAACATTTACACTAGTGTCTACACTCTAACAACATAGCGCAGCACTAATATCTACACTCTAACATCTGAACATAGAGTAGCCCCAACACTCTACACCAGTGTCTACACTCTAACATAATGCAGCACTAATATCTACACCAGTGTCTACACTCTAACATCTAAACATAGAGCAGCCCCAACACTCTACTACACCAGTGTCTACATCTGGTCAGATTAGTCTATCAGAGAATACACAAACATCTACACTAGTGTCTACACTCTTAACATCTGAACACAAACTATCATCAAGGAAAACCTAACATCCACTTTAGTTGCTACATTACATAAACAAGCTTGTCCAAGAATACCTCACCATCTGCATTAATGCTTAAACTTTACAGGCCAACTTATCAGATAATCCATCAATATCTACATTAAGTGTTTACACTCTACATCCGAACACAGACCAGCCCATGAGAGAATACTAAAACATCTACATCTGTGTGTTCATTTAAATATGTGGACACAGACCAGCCCATGAGAGAATACTAAAACATCTACATCTGTGTGTTCATTTAAATATGTAGACACAGACCAGCTCATCAAAGGTAACCAACATACCGCATAAGCATCAACAACCTGAGGCACGCAGAGCTCTGTATGGGGGATCAGGAACTGGTGAGCCTGTTTTAACAATGTTGTACACACTACAGTTCTAGCCCAGAAAGAAGACACACAGACAGACAAGACCTAACATGAAGACATTTATCTAGTGGGCTCCAGCATGTCCAGGGTGATCTTGTAAAAGACGTAGGGGAAGTAGTCTGACGAGGACAGATTCAGTCCTGGGATGTCCATGGCTGCCATCTGTGGAGGTAGTCGACAGTGGACAGTGGTCAGTCAATGTTAACCATACACACATACAGACTTATAATCAGTCACACTGGTGGCACAAGACCATCTTTCCAGATGACAGTTTTACACTGTGCTGGGGGAGGCATGAGACTCATAGCCCAGGTGACTGTCACGAGCAAGACCCCTCCCCACCCCCTCCCCACCATGTTAAGATTGGTTAGTTGCGTATCCTTTACAGGACATTGCAGAACCAACCCCAACAGCCCCTGGCTATTGTGGTTTTTCTAGGCAAATTTACGTCCAGTAGTTTGCCACTGCTTTCTGGACCGTCTGCTTTCTTGATACCACTGTCGAAACAAACGCAAGGCACATGGCCTGCAGCTGGGACTAAACCCGGCATTACGAAGTGTTCTCATCGACTTAGCCACAGAGCCGACATGTTAAGACTATTTTACCATAATTAGATTGAGGTTTTCAAGTTTTGAACAATGGATCAACATCATGGCACATGGGTGTAACCCATAATTCTAACTCAAGTCTAAGTCAGAAGAAGCTCAGCATAGTGCACAGGATCTGTAGCATTGGCGAGGATCCTGAAATACTTTGAGTAGATTTCTAACTCCAAATTTTGCCTGAGCAGTGCCGTTAGGCTACTCTTTTTGATTCCAACTCCCCTCCCACGTGAATAAATCCCAGCCCTTACCGGGAATTGAACCTGGAAGCTCTAGCATTCGAGGCGGACACCATGCCTCAAGACCACGCAGTCCCATATACCACAATAAGAGCATGGGATTTCATGACCGTTGTTACCATCACGTGCACTTGGTGTGCTCTTCTCAGATGCTTGGCTCTCAAGCTTTCTGATTTCAGTTCCTCCTTCACTGCACAGCACAAAGCCAGGGCAGAACTGTAGAGACCATCATGTAGCCCATGCAACAGGATCCCTCTCTTGGCCTGCCTTATTTAGTTCAAATGACCCCCATGTGGGTTCCGGCGCCCCATTGTGAGGAAAACAAGAATAGACCCACTGCCTGCCCGAAAGCATGTAGTCGACTAATTAGGCGGCTTCCTTTGAAGTCGGAGTGCATCTGCCTGAGAGGCAAAGAACCAACAGTCTGCATTCAAGTGTATCAGATCTGTAAAATTGACGCACACGCAGGTTCTGGAGCAGGACTGCAGTTCAGAAGTGGACGAAAAACCAGAACTTTCCGCCAGAGTGTACAGCTGATGAACGCAAAGAAGGAGTTCAAATGAAAGATAACACCAAAATGTTTGGAACAAAGCATGCTACAGAAACTGCTGGATCAGAAGTGACGAACAACCAGAACTTTCCGCTAGAGTACACAGCTGGTGAACGTGAAGAAGAAGACGAAGAAGAAGTTCAAATGAAAGGTAACACCAAAATGTTGGGACAAAGCATGCTACAGAAACTGCTGGATCAGAAAACTGATTAAATGAGGTCCCATTGTGGGTTCATGACAAACTAGGTAGTGGATGTGACAAATCATGACATACTGGGTAGTGGATGTGACAAATCATGACAAACTGGGTAGTGGATGTGACAAATCATGACAAACTGGGTAGTGGATGTGACAAATCATGACATACTGGGTAGTGGATGTGACAAATCATGACAAACTGGGTAGTGGATGTGACAAATTATGACAAACTGGGTAGTGGATGTGACAAATCATGACAAACTGGGCACTGGATGTGACAAATCATGACAAACTGGGTAGTGGATGTGACAAATCATGACATACTGTGCAGTGGATGTGACAAATCATGCCAAACTGGGTAGTGGATGTGACAAATCATGACAAACTGGGCAGTGGATGTGACAAATCATGACATACTGTGCAGTGGATGTGACAAATCATGACATACTGTGCAGTGGATGTGACAAATCATGACAAACTGGGTAGTGGATGTGACAAATCATGACAAACTGGGTAGTGGATGTGACAAATAATGACAAACTGGGTAGTGGATGTGACAAATCATGACAAACTGTGCAGTGGATGTGACATAATGACAAACTGGGTATTGGATGTGACATAATGACAAACTGGGTAGTGGATGTGACAAATCATGACAAACTGGGTAGTGGATGTGACAAATCATGACAAACTTGGTATTGGATGTGACAAATCATGACATACTGTGTAGTGGATGTGACAAATCATGACATACTGTGTAGTGGATGTGACAAATCATGACAAACTGGGCAGTGGATGTAACAAGCAAACTCACCTGTTGACCGGACAGGGCTGTACTATCCAGATGCCCATAGAGCTGGTTAAGAAGGTCTCTGATACGTTTGTGATTTTTCTTGATTGGTCGCACCAGCATGGCCTGGAAGTTCACAGGGAGACCATATCTGCAACCACAGGCAGAACAAGACAGATAACAAACAGCAAGATCATCAAATATCACTCACCCTTACAGCTACAGGTATATAACACAAATGGGCAGACATATAAACTCACCTGCATACGCACATATTGACATCAGACCACACAGTAGGAAAAAAAACACACGAGACATAACAGATACAAACAAACCTTATACCAGGTGAACAAGCAGACTCACGAATAAGTAAAGTAAAATAAAAGTAAAGATCCCCTTCCACGTCTTTAGGCGTATCGGGCATATGGGAAGAGCGCCCATATTATTACAGACCATCAGCACTCAGTGGGTTATGTGGTCAGCATTACGCTAGCTGTCTTTACTTTCCAAGGACAGCCCATCTTAGTACCCATTCTAGGCTGGGTCGACCTGCAACGCCCCATACCACGATAAAAATCCACGCAGCCTGCAGTGGGTTTCGATCGCGGTGCGTTGGATTACAAGTTGGAGTCGCAACGCCTTAGTCACGGACGCCGCTAGACTCACGAATACCAAACAAGAAATAAACAAATTAACTTGAGACCAGACAGACACAATCATATATGATGACACTGTGAGAAAATTATGTGAGACAGGCAGAAATGGACAAACGTATGTGAGACATGCAGAAATGGACAAACTTATGTGAGACAGGCAGAAATGGACAAACTTACGTGAGACAGACAGAAATGGACCAACGTATGTGAGACAGGCAGAAATGGACAAATGTATGTGAGACAGGCAGAAATGAACAAACTTATGTGAGACAGACAGAAATGGACAAATGTATGTGAGACAGGCAGAAATGGGCAAACTTATGTGAGACAAGCAGAAATGGACAAACTTATGTGAGACAGGCAGAAATGGACAAACTTACGTGAAACAGGCAGAAATGGACAAACTTTTGTGAGACAATGTGAGTCACAGACTCAATCACTGAAGAACTGAAAATGCTACAGAACAATTCTTAGAAAATCATGAACCAAAAACAAACCATCCTGCATGACCTGAGCATCAAGGAGAACTGGCTCATCAACAACATCCTGTCCTGAAAGTCTTGGCCATGTTAGACGTCTAGAGAGAATGGTGGTGGAGGGTGTGGTTTCTGGAAAACAATGCAGCAGCAGACCACCGTGAACGCAGTTACAAGACACTGAAGACGCACTGGCTATGAAAGCACATAGGGCTGGAGAATTGTCTACAGGAATAGGCTTTAAAGTCTGTCGAATATGAGACAATATGACACAGACAAACTCACGTGAGGCAAGACTGACACACAAAAACTCACCTGAGACAATATGACACAGACAAACTCACGAGAGGCAAGATTGACACACAAAAACTCACCTGAGACAATATGACACAAACTCACTTGAGGCAAGACTGACACACATAAACTCACCTGAGGCAAGACTGACACACATAAACTTACCTGAGACAACATGACACAGACAAACTCACATGAGGCAAGACTGACACAAATAAACTCATCTGAGACAATACGACACAGACAAACACATGAGGCAAGACTGACACACATAAACTCACCTGAGACAATATGACACAGACAAACTCGCATGAGGCAAGACTGACACACATAAATATACCTGAGACAACATGACACAAACTCACCTGAGGCAAGACTGACACACATAAACACACCTGAGACAACATGACACTAACTCACCTGAGGCAAGTCTGACACACACAAAATCACCTGAGATTTAAACAAATATATAAATCAATGAACCCTACAGGCACAGAAAAGGCAACAGAAATGAATGTGCTTACACTGATCAGCACTCATAGAAGAAGTATTGACAGAAGGAAACACCTGAGGTGAATTTATTGTTTCTTTGTGTGTCCTTTACATCTTTCCTCTGTTCCTATAAGTTTTGATCATTACTAGTAAATCAAAAACAACTGAAACACAAAAAAAGGCAAAACAAATGAGATAAGAAGACATAAACTCACATACAATGAGACAGATACACGTTCATAAACAAATGTGTGTGCACTTGCTGGTTCGTCACGACTGCTGCTTGCATCAACTATAAACAACAACACTAGTGACAGACTGTCAGTGTTGGCACCTCTGGCAATGATGGAAGAGACACTAGGCAGGCTTAAACAGACTTACCGGAGAACTGACTCTGTAAAAACCCTCAACGCCTTGATGTGAATCCAGGCAACAAATGCCTCACCAAAATTGATCTTCAGCCATTTCACCAAGGGTCCCTGAACAGAAAAACACCAGGTTTATACACATGCTCGTACATTCAGATTCCAACAACACAAGGTTTATACACATGTTCGTACATTCACATTCCAACAACACAAGGTTTATACACATGTTCGTACATTCAGATTCCAACACCAACCAGGTTTATACTCATGTTGGTACATTCAGATTCCAACAACACCAGGTTTATACACATGTTGGTACATTCAGATTCCATTAAACACTATCACACAACAGGTGACAGTCAGGTGCATTTTAACATGTATATATACATATTATAGTTGTAGTGCATTTGGAATGGAAGGATTTTACTGTGGTTGGAAGGTTACTTCACAGCTACCACTTGTTTTTTGATAAGATTGTGGGATGTTGTGAGAAGGTTACTTCACAGCTACCACTTGTGTGATAAGATTGTGGGATGTTGTGAGAAGGTTACTTCACAGCTACCACTTGTTGTGTGATAAGATTGTGGGATGTTGAGGGAAGGTTACTTCACAGCTACCACTTTTTGTGTGATAAGATTGTGGGATGTTGTGAGAAGGTTACTTCACAGCTACCACTTGTTGTGTGATAAGATTGTGGGATGTTGAGGGAAGGTTACTTCACAGCTACCACTTGTTGTGTGATAAGATTGTGGGATATTGTGGGAAGGTTACTTCACAGCTACCACTTGTTGTGTGATGAGATTGTGGGATGTTGTGGGAAGGATACCATACAACTACCATCTGTTGTGTGGAATGTGAGTGTGATGTAGTTGGAACGGTACCACACGACTACTATATATATATATATATGCACAACTCTCCCAGACACAAACTTACACCACACAACTCTCACACACAAACTTACACCACATAACTCTCACACACAAACTTACACGACATAACTCTCACACACAAACTTACACCACACAACTCTCACACACAAACTTACACCACACAACTCTCACACACAAACTTACACCACATAACTCTCACACACAAACTTACACCACACAACTCTCCCGCACACAAACTTACACCACACAACTTTACCAGCTGAATCAGCAAAGAATCATTCATCTTCACCACATGCTTATGTACTTACAAATTTCTTTTTCTTCTCGGCGCTGAGTTTATCCATCTCATCCTTGCCCGCCTGAATCTCATTCTCATCATACTGGAAATCTCGAACCATAAATCTGTGGACACAAGTTACATGACCCATCATGAAATTATTTCTGGAAATTTTTTTTGGGCACAGCCATTAAATCTCAATTTCAAATCAACCACTGATTTATGTGCAATTTAAACACATTCTCTCTGTGGAGGTTCCGGGCCCATTGTGGGGAACAGACCCACTGCCTTCTCAACAAACATGTCATAGAAGTCAACTAGAAGGAAGCTTTCTTCAAAGTCAGGGTGAATCTGCACAAGCAGCAAGGAACAATCAACTGCACACACAAAAGCCAGTAAAACAGATGTACACGCAAAACTCAGGCCCTGACACAAAGCTAAAGTCCAAATACATGACCAATCAGGACTTTTCACGACAGCTTGCAAACAAAGAAGAAGAAGAATGTTTTTCGACTGTGACCAGCGTGGTGGTGTGAATTGTGGATTCAGAAAATGGTGCGATGCCTGTTGTCACAATATTGGTGGTGCCATTGTGTGATTTAAAATGATCGCGTCTGCAACTGCTGATCTGTTGGTAACTTCATCTACCATCCACGATGAACTGAATTTCACTGTTTGTGTTGGTATTTCCGATGGCTGCCATATGCTTTTAATGTGTGTGTTTGCTAGATATGCTGAGACAGCAGTCTGTCAATCTTTCCACAAGGGACTGTGATTAACATTTTGCGTGTTTTTCGTTGGCCCAGGAGTGGAGCAGCTATGAAGCTGAAACTAAGATTACCAGATCAACCGACTTGTTCTTACACCTAATCCAACTTTCAACGAAAATGTGGCAAACCACCTACTTGTTCTCACGGCACTTGAGCTTGAACTCATCCTGTATGGTCCTGAATATGGTCACAGTGACCATCTGGTGCTCACCATCCTCGAAGACAACCCTGGAGAGCAACGACATGCATTTTAACATCAACCCATCACAGATAAATAATTTCAACATTAACCCATCACAGATAAATAATTTCAACATCAACCCACCACAGATAAATATTCTGTTTTTTACCGTCAATATATGCCTCAAACAAGAAACATTTCATCATCAACCCACCAAAGAAAAATATTATGTGCTGTACCACCATTATATGCAACAAAATGTCATTCTACTGTAGCACAATATATCTAAAAACATAGATAAATGCATTTAGCAGTGTACCATACAAACATCCAGGTAAAAACGATAAAATACATTTAGCAGTGTACCATACAAACATCCAGGTGAAAACGATAAATACATTTAGCAGTGTACCATACAAACATCCAGGTAAAAACGATAAATACATTTAGCAGTGTATCAGGAATATATCTAGACAATAAAGATATATAACTTGTCATCAACTTCCACTTTTGCTATTAAGCGTAGCAGAGAGGAGCAGTTTGCGGTTAACTGCTCAAAGTAGGTAAAGAAAGTAAAGGTCCTATACACGCCAGTGGCGCATCGAGCACAAGAGGTTAGGCTCACATGTATAGGCCCTTGATGGGTGAACCCTTTTGAGGCTGGGTTGAACTAGGTGCCAAGGTCACCCATTGGTCATTGCGCACCTAATCAACTATATACTTAAACAAACCCTCACAGTCTCCACCTCCTTTCAAGTACTGCAGGCTGACAACCCTTACCTGGATGATCGTGGGACCACCTTCTCTGAAAACCTCTCGTAATTCTTAAACCAGTCTTCATTCAGCACCCTGTCAAAGAAACAACAATTGCTGTATTCTGGTTTACGTTCAGTGAAGTCATTTTCAGTAACACTGCAGCTCGGTATGTTAGCATGTGCAGTAATGAGCAACCGATGGATAATGAACATTCAGGTAATGATAGCTAGTATGTCAGTTACAGACCCCAAAATCAATAACTGTCTCTCAGGCTTGTGTTCTCAGCACTCTGCTTTATGGCAGTGAGACTTGGTCAACTTATTCGCACCAGGAGTAACGGCTAAATAGCTTTCACGTGTCTAAGATGAATACTTGGTGTTAAGTTGCAGGAGAAGACCACAAACACTGAGGTACTGGAAAGAGCAGGTACTACAAGTCTTTTCAATGCCCAGTTTACGAAGACTCAGTTGGCTGGATCACACTTGGAGAATGGCAGAGTCCCTAAGGACATCCTCTATTGTGAATTAAAGATGGGTAGAAGATGTCGAGGCAGACCTTTACTGTGATATATAATGATGTGTGCAAGTGAGACATGAATGATACAGGTACTGAGATGGACAAAATGTCATGGACGGTGTTGTGTGAAGGGGAACATCAGGAAGGGATCGAGAATGAAGGAAGAAAATATTGCAGAAAGGATGACAGCTGAGTCTCTGAGAAGAAACAGACTAAACACAAATGTTGACAACAGTCCTGAAATCCCTTCTTGTGGGAGACTTTTCTTAACGCAGGCAGGTCTTGTTAGTTACACTCGACATCACCATGCGCTGGAAGTCACATGCTTTCTCAGAGTGCAATATAACACTATCGTTTGGAAAGACAGAAAGATGCTAATCTAACCATAAGGGAAAGTTGACAAAATGGAGCAGAAGTGATGTGTCTCTTTGGCCAGTCTGACCTAACTGGTTCATAATCAATTATTTACTTCATGATGTGATAAATCTGGTTCATAATCTATGATTTTCTTCATGACTAAATAAATTTGGTTTATAATCAATGATTTACATCTCGGTGTGATCAATTTAGTTCATAACCTATGATTTGCTTCATGAAGTGATAAATTTGGTTCATAACCAATGATTTGCTTCATGAAGTGATAAATTTGGTTCATAACCAATGATTTGCTTCATGAAGTGATAAATTTGGTTCATAACCAATGATTTGCTTCATGAAGTGATAAATGTGGTTCATAACCAATGATTTGCTTCATGAAGTGATAAATGTGGTTCATAACCAATGATTTGCTTCATGAAGTGATAAATTTGGTTCATAACCAATGATTTGCTTCATGAAGTGATAAATTTGGTTCATAATAAATGATTTGCTTCATGAAGTGATAAATTTGGTTCATAACCAATGATTTGCTTCATGAAGTGATAAATTTGGTTCATAACCAATGATTTGCTTCATGAAGTGATAAATTTGGTTCATAACCAATGATTTGCTTCACAAAGTGATAAATGTGGTTCATAACCAATGATTTGCTTCACAAAGTGATAAATGTGGTTCATAACCAATGATTTGCTTCACGAAGTGATAAATGTGGTTCATAACCAATGATTTGCTTCACGAAGTGATAAATGTGGTTCATAACCAATGATTTGCTTCACGAAGTGATAAATGTGGTTCATAACCAATGATTTGCTTCAGGAAGTGATAAATGTGGTTCATAACCAATGATTTGCTACATGAAGTGATAAATGTGGTTCATAACCAATGATTTGCTTCACGAAGTGATAAATGTGGTTCATAACCAATGATTTGCTTCACGAAGTGATAAATGTGGTTCATAACCAATGATTTGCTTCACGAAGTGATAAATGTGGTTCATAACCAATGATTTGCTTCACGAAGTGATAAATGTGGTTCATAACCAATGATTTGCTTCAGGAAGTGATAAATGTGGTTCATAACCAATGATTTGCTTCATGAAGTGATAAATGTGGTTCATAACCAATGATTTGCTTCACGAAGTGATAAATGTGGTTCATAACCAATGATTTGCTTCACGAAGTGATAAATGTGGTTCATAACCAATGATTTGCTTCAGGAAGTGATAAATGTGGTTCATAACCAATGATTTGCTACATGAAGTGATAAATGTGGTTCATAACCAATGATTTGCTACATGAAGTGATAAATGTGGTTCTTCTTCTTGGTGTTCACTGGCTGTAAACTCCAGTAAAAAAATCTAGTTGTTCGTCCACTCTGGACTTGAGATTTGTTCCAGAACTAATCAATGATTTCCTTGAGGACATAATAAATTTGGTTAACGATAATAAAATATTTCATCTTGGTGACATGACAAACTGGTTTCCTATTGGCGAACTTATCTTCAAGACATGATAAATTTGATTCCTAATCTGTGATTACTAGCAACTGTGAAATTAATCATCATTGTTTTAACTCACTCAAATATAGTCCAACATTTCACAAAAGGAAAGACATATATCTCAGATATAATTGCTAATCCTCTCACCCAAGGAACATTTTTCTAGCAATGGAAAGGAAAAGAAACAGTGCACACATGAACTTTACTTCTTCATCTTCTTCACGTTCACCAGCTATGAACTCCGACGGAAAGTTCTGGTTGTTCGTCCACTTCTGAACTGCAGTCCTGTTCCAGAACCTGAGTGTTACGTGTACATCCATTTGACAGATCTGTATGCAGACTGTTGGTTCCTTGCCTCTCGGGCAGATGCACTCCGACTTCGAAAGAAGCTCCCAATTAGTCGACTCTTACGACATGCTTTTGGGTAGGCAGTGGGTCTATTCTTGTTTATCCCATAGTAGGGCCCCGGAACCCACACGGGGAACATTAACTTTAGAATTTAATCAGAACTCATAATAATCTTGATAATCCGTCAGGTTCTGAGCTCCATTTTGGGGACAGAAAACAACAGACTTAAAGACCCGTAACCAGTATGTTAAAAAAGGGACAAATCAGAGGTTTCCAGAAATTCAACTAACTTGAAAACTATAACACCCACTGTGACAAGATAATCCAACTTAGGAACTATACCAACCACTGTGACGATATACTCCAACTTACTTGGGAACTATAACAACCAGCGTGATGAGATATTCCAACTAACTTGGGAACTATAACGACCAATGTGACGAGATACTCCAACTTACTTGGGAACTATAACGACCAGTGTGACGAGATACTCCAACTTACTTGGGAACTATAACGACCAGTGTGACGAGATACTCCAACTTACTTGGGAACTATAACAACCAGTGTGACGAGATATTCTGAGTCCAAAATGAAGTCTTCCTTCTTCACAAGATCAGCAATGTTGCGGGTGAGAAGGCTGCCACTGTGAAACATAACATCAATTCAAGTACACATGCTTGTATCACCTCTTGTGTCTATGTTCTGTCATTCTTGTAATCCTTCTGTCCCTGTTGCTACTAGACATTTCAATACCAATCACCAGCAGCTCTTGTGTTGACTGACTCAAAGGAAGCACAAATCCACTGATGCTTATGCTGGATCTGGGGGTGGGGGGTGGGTTTAGACAGTTTGGCAACATGGCAGGAAAGAACATCTGTATCAGAAATGCTCACCAGTCCCTGTGACAGACAGCTGTGGACAGACAGTTGTTCTGTAAAATCTGGTGGAAAGTTCTGGTTAATTAATCCACTTCAAGACTTTAGCCTCGTTCTAGTACTTGCATTTTGCGTGCACATCCATTTTACAGACCAGACTTCTCTGTATGCAGACTGTTAGACAGATACACTTCCACTATGAAGGAAACACCACTTAATTAGTCTGCTTACGGCATACTTGTTGAGGAGGCAGTGGGTCTGCCCCCCCCCCCCACAATGGGGTCTTGGAACCCACACAAGGAGATTTACCACCTAACTGTTACATGTCACTAAAGAGCGAATGTTTGATGTCCATATTGTGCTACTGTCTCTGATGTACAACATGGACCAGTGTTGCAAGTGCCATCCCTACATGTCACTAAAGAGCGTATGTTTGATGTCCATATTGTGCTACTGTCTCTGATGTACAACATGGACCAGTGTTGCAAGTGCCATCCCTACACGCTGTCCTTCAGTCATGTGGCAGTGCTATGTTTGACACAGGATACAGTCAAGACAACCAGGACATCTACTAACGTTGTCTTGCGCTCTAGCTGCTCTAGGGTGCCCTTGAGTGCGTTGTACTTGTTGTAGCGAGTTTTCAGCTCCTCTTCAATGTGGGTCACATCCTGAAGGAAGAAACAGATCACTTTGTGTCAGCTATGCAACATATGACAGCCTTTGATGACACAGTGTCAAAATAACAACATATGACAGCATTTAATGACACATTGTCAAAATAACAACAATTGACAGCATTTAATGACACATTGTCAAAATAACAACAATTGACAGTCTTTGATGACACTGTGTCAAAATAACAACATATGACAGCGTTTAATGACACACTGTCAAAATAACATTTGACAGTGTTTGATGACACTGTCAAAATAACAACATTAAACATATTTACACCTGTTCTGTTGAGCTACAGCTAAGTAAAGTACACATTTGAGTTGTCACAGTGTGTGTTGTATTTAGTATTTCATTGATAAAGACTTTGGTTCAAACATTTGGTGGTATATGCGAATCATTTCCGTTCCTTCTCCGTGTGGGTTTGGGTGCCCCATTCTGGAAGGAAACAAGAATAGACCCACTACCTACCCAAAAGCATGTCGTAAGAGTCAACTAATTGGTAGCTTCCTTTAAAATCGAAATACATCTGCTCGAGAGGCAAGGAACTAACAGTTGGCATGAAAATGAGTCAGAAATGTGAAATGGATGTACACGCAACACTCAGGTTCTGGAACAGGACAAGGAGTCCAGAAGTGGATGAACAACCAGAACTTTTTGTCAGAGTTTATAGCCGGTGAACGTGAAGAAAAAGATTTCCATTCCCTTTGTTGAGCTTTCTAGTCATAATGTTTGTTATACAGCAGTTCTGGCACAGAGAGGTGTCCACGCTTGACTATACGATGCAGACAAGAATGATCACCCACACCAACCAGCAAGGCCCGATGATATGCCATGCTGCTGAATCGGACACACTCAATAATGACAGCAGAAAGAAGCTGAAGGCTACACGGAAATGATTTCTTTACAGAATGTTCAGAATCTTATCTACGGCCTAGATCCAAACACATCATGACAGGCCAACCACTGCGTGTCTTGTGCTCACCTGATGAGACCAGATGGTGCGGATGATGCTGTTACATCTGGGAACATTGCAAGGTTTTGGACAAAAGTTGACAGTAAAACAAGTAGTTGACAATAAAACAAGTAGTTGACAAGCTGGGGCTGAACTTTTTTTTGGTTTGTTTTTGTTTAACAAATAACAGAAGAAGATGTTGATGGTGGACCATATTGCCACTGATGTTCGACAAGACATGCGATAATGATAAAAGAGTTTACATATTCCGTTAAATTTAAAAAAAATATGTTCTGAAAATTGTTCAATGTGAATGTCCTAACCTTAGAGATGACATCCGCAATGGCCCTGAGAGGCTGTTTGACTGGGTACTTGGCCGCATCCCAGCTGAACTTCTGCAAGTACACCTGTGGTGGTGCTATACAGGGAACATGAAACGTATCATTATGTGAAAATGTTTCAGTGTGGGAAGTCATCCAACTAAGTGAATACTTCTGTTGTGAATAATAATACACTAACCTGCATCAAGATATAGGTAACTGTGTAAGACTGAGAACTGTAATTACCTGTGCTTACCAATCCTTGGCGTCCAGATCGACCCAGTCTTGAATGGGTATCAGGTGCGGTCATGGAAGGTAAAGGCAGCCGGCATGATGTTGACCCCATCACCCGCCAAGTGCCAATGGTCTATAAAATATAGGTCTAGCCCTATATGCCCAATAGGAGTGAAGTCATAGAAAAGGGTCCTTTACTTACATGCTTACCAATACAGCCCATGCCTATCATTTATATACAAATATCTGACCAAAAATGTTTGCAATCTCCCCAATGCAGATATCAGTCTATTTCAACATTTTATTTATGAACATCAGCCAAATCTGGGTAAAACTGTAACATTCAAACACCCCCCCCCCCCCCCCCCACTTCAGATTTTTGCTGTATGCGACTTCCTGTTTCCACAACTTGGGAGAGAAATAAAAGGTTGCTGATTCAATGATTTTCAGGAGCTTTGAGTATAAACCTCTACGGCTGTTACAGGAAGTGCCGCCGCAAACATTGGCAAGAATGCTAGAACAACTGCATACAATGAGAAGGGGCTACTCTGTGAGGCAGCTCACACTAACCAGATAAGCTACCAAGTTACCAACATCAAGTCAGTCCTGGAAGTCAGTGATTACCCTTCATTAACCAACACTGTCAGTTGTCATAGTTACAGTAATTACAGTGGACAGGATCCCAACTAACTTTCAAGTGAATTTAAATAATACGGATACAAACAATACATTGCACAATTTATTGCCAGGCATATTTTGCTGTATCTCATCCGGTGCATTACTACAGAGTTACATCAACATAAAATAAAGCACAACACTGAATAAATTCAACTGAAATGCGAATAGTTTCTTCCGATACATTGTGCGTGTTTCATGTTACCCTGGTAAGTCATGTGACTATGGTGAGCTTCCGGCTTCGAATGACAACTGAAAGCTAACACGTCACCGCCGCCTCCAAGATTCTGTCTCTTGTCCTAATCCATATTTGCCATCAAGTATTGGCACATGCTAGTTTAGTACTGCTGGGGTGTGACAGACACACTTCGACTTCAAATAAAACTACCCCAATTAGTTGTCTTGTATGGTTTGCTTGTCAGGGAAGCAGTCAGCCGATTCTTCTTCCCTTCAGAATGGGGCCACACGGAGTGATCTAATTATACAAATGTTGGACTCAAATACAATTGACGGCTATGTACAAATTTTATGTATGTTAGATGTTATATCTAACACAGAAAATGTTGACTGAACTGAATAAAACATTACGGAGGAAACACTGTTGCAAGTTGTGGAAAGATACTTACTATCTCCTACCACACGCAGATTCTCTGTAAGGTTTCCTTTGGCCGAGGACTCCAGAATATCCTCTAGAGTTGCAGCAACTTTCCTCACAACCCTGACCAGAGCAAACACAGTGGAGCAGCACCATTTATCAACAATAGCAAGCAAACATTTCAGTGCTGAATATTTCCATAAGATTTTATCCCTCTCCCTTCCTTTCAGTCATGTCACTTCCACCCCTGGGTGTAGAGCCTTGTACATCTGCCATAAATACACTGTCCTGTCACTTCCACCCAATGCATAGAGAGTTACTGGTCTGCTGGTGCTTGCCCTGGGTTGAACCCAGCTGACTGTTATACTGTCCAAGCACTAACCCAGATTACTGTTATACTGTCCAAGCATTAACCCAGCTGACTGTTATCCTGTCCAAGCACTAACCCAGATTACTGTTATACTGTCCAAGCATTAACCCAGCTGACTGTTATACTGTCCAAGCACTAACCCAGCTGACTGTTATACTGTCCAAGCACTAACCCAGATTACTGTTATACTGTCCAAGCACTAGCCCAGCTTACTGTTATACTGTCCAAGCACTAACCCAGATTACTGTTATACTGTCCAAGCACTAACCCAGCTGACTGTTATACTGTCCAAGCACTAACCCAGATTACTGTTATACTGTCCAAGCACTAACCCAGCTGACTGTTATACTGTCCAAGCATTAACCCAGATTACTGTTATACTGTCCAGGCACTAACCCAGCTGACTGTTATACTGTCCAAGCACTAACCCAGCTTACTGTTATACTGTCCAAGCATTAACCCAGCTGACTGTTATACTGTCCAAGCACTAACCCAGATTACTGTTATACTGTCCAAGCACTAACCCAGCTGACTGTTATACTGTCCAAGCACTAACCCAGCTGACTGTTATACTGTCCAAGCACTAACCCAGATTACTGTTCTACTGTCCAAGCACTAACCCAGCTTACTGTTATACTGTCCAAGCACTAGCCCAGCTTACTGTTATACTATCCTAGCTGACTGTTATACTGTCCTAGCACTAACCCATCTGACTGTTATGATGTCCAAGGTACTAACCCAGCTTACTGTTATACTGTCCAAGCACTAACCCAGCTTACTGTTATACTGTCCAAGCACTAACCCAGCTGACTGATTCAAACGTGCCCTTTATGACAGCTTGTCTCTACTAGAATGCACAGCACACATAAAACATGGGTGCACACACAAACATAATGTCCCACACAACCATGGTTACCATAGTAGCACACATGCCTCATGATCCAGTGGCTAGGACTGAGAATTTGCGAACCAATTGTTTTTTTTTTTTACAGGCGTGGACTCTCAGATCAACCAATCTAAAACGAGCTCTCAGGAAACGAGTGATGATGGCTGGCATCATGTTAACACTGTCACCAACTGGGTGCCGATTGGTCTATACCAGTGTTTTTCAAACTTGTGTGCCTCACCGCCCCTCTTTGTTAATGGTAAAATCAGTCAGTGCACACCCCCTCCCCTCACTTTCATGATTGTAAATATTAAATCAGAAAGCAAGAATGACATTTAAAGTAATGTTAATAAGAAGGATTAACTCGTGAAATAACAAATTAATTTATTTCTAATTAATAACTGAGAATTTAACGTGGTTAAGACATCACAGAAACAGACATGAATATTAAAATAAATTTTATTTCCCTCACCGCCTTGTAATTTTTATTCAATGCACCTGAGGCTCCTACTGCCTCCCCCCCCCCCTCCCCCCCAGCCGTTCCAGAGCTCCCAAAATTTGACAGAGCATCTACAGCCCCCTTTTGGGGCGGGGTGGGGGGTAGCACTTATTTTTTAATTTTAAAAAAAAACTTGTCTGTACAAATATGGGACCAGCACTGTATGGTTTACGTGTTTGAATCAGACTCTGCAACCATAGGTACAAGTAATTCAAGATCTGAGATTCACAGCTTTGTCCAAGTGGACAGGCACTGCAGAAAATGCAATGTGTGCTACAGATAGACCTCAGGGTGGACCGGTTGGCATTCCAATGAAAACCAAGATGTATGGAGCAGTGGAAGACATGAGAGTCACACCACAGACCTCACAGAGGCTTGTGGCCTCCTCTGAAAACCACGAGCAGGGAGAATGAGAAAAAGAACACAGATTAACAAATAAACATGTACATTTACACAGATAACTGCACTGGCACACCTAAACTACAAAGCATGGAAACAGATTTGCAGGCTCACAATAACACACACAAAATATTACATACAAAACAAAGTGACAAAGGCAAACAGTAAAACGTGTGCATAATTTGACGAACATACCCTTCAATGTAGGAATCAATTTTATTAAGGTCATCAGACAATGCCACCAAGATGTCCAGGGTGCCCACCTAGAACAGAAAGTGAAATCTGCTGGTGACTTTCAAGAGAACTGGACACTTTCATCATTAGAACAGCACATGCACAGACACAGAATAAAAGATAATTTCACTAACTTTCCTTACTATAACTTTAACCAGATTCCAAAACCAAGTCAATCAGGAATATTCAGCAAGAAAGCCTTGAAAGCAAGCAGCCAACACTCAATGAAACAAATGTCCATGTGCGTCTCTTTTTCTTCTTCGATGTTTGCCTTCAAAACAGAAGTTGGCACACTGCGTTTCTTGCTGTTTACAGTCAGTCTGTGATATACACTTTTCTTTTTTCCTTCTTGTGGCGCCAGAACTCAAATGGGGACATGCATTGATGAAGTCAGGTTATTGAGGATCAGGCATCCTTGAGATTGATTCATTCCACTTGCAGATCATGAGATGAGATGCTCTAAAAAGTGTTTAGAGGCAACAGGAATTGTCTCCCTTACCCCAGATCATAATCTATAAAGCTCAGTCTCTCTTTCCGCAGAGTGGCTGTTGGCCCATGGAGAGCATCAAACAAAACACAGTAGCTCCAGCAATGATCACTAGCAGTCCTGAAACACCTGCACTCGTCATGCAAAATTAAACCCACAAACTTCAGGACATGAGGCAGCTAGCTTTACCACAGAACCCCCCTCCCCCTTTCCAAGCGAGGAGAGGTATGAGAAATGTGACTGCCTCCACCAGTTGGGAAGATGATGATGATACATACAGTGGCTACTATGTGTGTATGTGCATGTAACTAAGTTAGAGCTACTATGTGTGTATGTGCATGTAACTAAGTTATAGCTTCTATGTGTGAATGTGCATGTAACTGAGTTAGAGCTACTATGTGTGAATGTGCATGTAACTGAGTTAGAGCTACTATGTGTGAATGTGCATGTATCTGAGTTAGAGCTTCTATGTGTGAATGTGCATGTAACTGAGCTAGAGCTTCTATGTGTGAATGTAACTGAGCTAGAGCTACTATGTGTGTATGTGCATGTATCTAAGTTAGAGCTACTATGTGTGAATGTGCATATAACTAAGTTAGAGCTACTATGTGTGAATGTGCATATAACTAAGTTAGAGCTACTATGTGTGAATGTGCATATAACTAAGTTAGAGCTACTATGTGTGAATGTGCATATAACTAAGTTAGAGCTACTATGTGTGAATGTGCATATAACTGAGTTAGAGCTTCTATGTGTGAATGTGCATATAACTAAGTTAGAGCTACTATGGGCGAATGTGCATGTATCTGAGTTAGAGCTTCAATGTGTGTATGTGCATGTAACTAAGCTAGAGCTTCTATGTGTAAATGTGCATGTAACTAAGTTAGAGCTACTATGTGCCCAAAGAACACATGATGAAATGCTTGTTACTGAAAAAGTTGACTCAAACTGTTATATGAACAAATAATCACCTTCAGATCTGGAATGTTGAATTTAAAAGTCTCTGCCAGTTTGTCATTGCCACTTTTTAAAGCCTGGCACAGCTTGTCATATGTCTGCTGGGGGGTTTTGTCACCCGGAGCAGATATCAACCAATATTCTGATAACTGTGACATGTCTATGTGCTCGTAGATATATCTGTAGAAAAAAGATAAATATGGAAATGTGTAGCATCAAAATATTTATAGGATTAACATTTCATTGTGTGTATATATATATATATATATATATATATATATCGCTGGGTGGTTGAGTATTAATGTGGTTTTTGAACGGCCTTCTGGCCCACTTTTTCGACTTCACTATCTCTTCACAAGCATATTCACAGGCTTTGTTGAAGTAGTCCACCACTGTGCCCTATTCATGCATACACATTTCATAATTGTAACAGACGCTGAAAGCATACAGGAAAAGGTGAAGACAGGGATGCTTTCAGTGGCAAGCCTCACTGGGAAGGTCACGGGTAGTGAGCATACTTTGGACCTTTTCTCTAGGCTACGCCGGCATGGTGGGGAATGAACAGGCAGGCAGACTGGCTGGATCTGTACCGTTGGGGGGGGGGGCCGCAGGGGGGGGGGGGGTGAATTGATACACAACAAGGTAAATGTGGTCAAGACCCTCTGGGAAAAAGCAACAGAGTCAGAAGCAAAACTAGATTGTTATGACCTGGAGAATGATGGGTGTAACCAGAGCATCTGGCCGGCTCATTAAACTCAGAGGAAAGGCAAGACAGACATATAACCAGATTACAACTGGTACCATTAGTACTGGAACTCTGCGCTAGCTGCTGAAGATGAGGACAGAGTACACATAGGAATGCACCGAGTGCTGTGATGTCAATACTTGATATAACTCAACTCTACTGTGCCCTTCTGGGCTGTGTAAGCAGACTACGAAAGAGATCCTGTAAGAATATCCCTTGAACAAACATTTAAGAAGGGAATACTGGCCCACTGAGTCAACACTGAAATCAAAGTTGTATGAAACTGAAATGAAACTCCTAAAAACAGTCAGTTTTATCACAAGAACATATGTCAGTGTAAATCAGAAACCGAACAAAGAAAAAAAAAATATATATATATATATGTGGAAGAGAGACAACTAAATAGCTTTCACATGTGATGTCTAGGAAGAATACTTGGCATTAAGTGGCAGGACAAAATCACAAACACTGAGGTACTGGAAAGAGCACGTACTACAACAGTCTTTTCCATGCTCAGTCTACGAAGGCTCAGGTGGCTGGGTCACACCTGGAGAATGAAGGATGGCAGAGTCCCTAAGGACATCCATTATGGTGAATTAAAGACAGGAAGAAGATGTCGAAGCCGACCTCTACTACGATATAAAAATGTGTGCAGCGGGACACGAATGATACAGGTATTGAGGCAGACTCGTGGGAACAAAATGACATGGACCGTGCTGTGTGGAAAAGGCATATCAGGAAGGAAGGAAATGAGACTGAAGAAAGAAATGACTGCAGAAAGGATGAGAGCTGAACGTCAGAAAAGAAACGGATTAAACGCAAATGTTGACAATAATGGTCCTGAAATCCCATGCTATCATTGTGAAAGACTTTTCTTGACCCGGGTGGGTCTTGCTAGTCACACTCGCCATCGCCATGGGTTGTGAGTCTAATGCCTCCTCATAGAGCAATATAACACTATCATTTGGAAATGTGCCAATCAATGTGCACTTAGTCAGCATCTGTCCATGACCAAACAATTTTTCTGCAGTATGTTACACACACAGGTTTTTGTCAACTAATAATATATCATCATGATCAAGTGCTTGCAGACTGACGTGGGTGACCATGCCTCTTCACAATTTGCAATCTTCAGCATAACGTATCAGTTCGCGTGTTGACACCCTCTATACCATGATAAAAGGCTGAATCATCTTGTGCTTTCTTCCTGTCGCTTTTTTGCACAGATCTTTTCAGTTGTCACAACACGTTCAAGTTTCCTTCTCATTACATGTTTAAAAATGTATGTCCGTCTCAGACGTTTGTGACAAGTTGTCGGCAAGGAAAACTGCAGCTGTATTTTCCATAGTAAATCATGCCTTTGAAATAACATTTACTGACAAATAACAGCAATTTTTCTGCTTTATTGGGTTTTTTTTTTACACATACAATATACAAAGCAAATGTTTGCAGTACTGGGTCATGTCCTTGAAAGTTTAAATCAAATCTTGCGAGCAGAAAGCTGATGATTAATTTTAACTTGTATAGTTGACACATGCTGGCAAACCCCATATATGTAAGAAGTGTATAGTTACCAAGATATCTAAGGAATTTAAAGATTACACAATTGTAAATATATTTTTGAGGGCATGCAGGTAGCTGGGTCTTGTCACAAGACACAAACTAGTCACTGAAGAATGTGACATCGAACTACTAGACTTTGACAAGAGAAAGGTAATGGTATCAACTAAATTACCAGGTTGTACAAACCGATATTGATTACCATTACACCACTGATGTAATTAGGTCTAAATAGCATATACAATGTCCAAGAAGACGTATGTGTCTTATGGACGTGTGGACAATCTGAATAGATTGTCACAAGTCAATGACACTCAAGAACGAGTCGTCTCAAGTCCTTATTTTTGTCATCCTAGCATAGGAATACTTGTTGATACTCACTGTAGCGTCGCTGTCGCACAAGTAGATAATTCTGTTGTGTCTCCGCCGGTTAAATCTCCCAGCTGGACTAGAAAATGTGGACTAAAAAGCGAGAAAGTCGATGGTGGACACAGACCAGGTCTCCCTGTTGATCTTTTATTTTCGACTTCAGACGAATCATGTGATAGCGGAAGTGGCTGCCCATGACTGGAGAGTGACTTCCCCTGGCGGAGCAGAATCTATGACAACAGAAGAATTTATTCTTCAATCTCATTTTCTGATGTTTTCTCTCCGTTTTAACTTCATCTTTGCTTGTTAACATGATCAGGTAAATGCTTTGTATCTGCGACAACGGAAGAATCCCTGCCTTAACCAGTCTCCGTTTATTTGTTTTATTTTCTATACCTGTTGAGCTGACCAGTGCATTGTCACAAGTCTGCATTTCTATTGTATATTTTTTTTTAGTTATTTAATTCATTTTTTTTTATCTGCAGATCTTTCGTATGTTTGTTTATCCATGTTTTCTCTATCAGTGATGTTACTACTAAAATATTAATTGTTTCTGTGTTTGTGTAGATCATTGTCTGTTTTAGCAGTTCGTTCGTCATTTTGAAATTTTATATTTATTTATCATGTTTTGAGGTGAATGGTGAAAATAATAATACACTTGTATATGGCTATATGCGATGACTATACGTATAGTTGTCTGTGCACTTATATGTTTTATAGATCATTTTATGTCTTATCAGTTGATATAATTCATTCATTGCTGATATTTATCCTGCTGTTTTGAGGTGTAAAGTGTAAATAGTAATACTCTTTTATGTAGTAATTGTAGTATATAGTTTCCTTTTGTGCTGTCCAGCCTAGGGCCAGTATTTGTATGATAAGTTAGTGTGTTGGCTTTTTTATCATCTTGTTTCTACTTCTTTGATAAATCTTCTGATGGTAAAATTCTGCTTATTTGAATTATTTATTAACTCTTAGATTTATTATTACTCTCTACTGATACTCTAGTTATAGTCACTAAACAGATTATTTCTCTAGATACTTAGATAGCACATTAAACTGTTTATTAACTCTCTAGCTAGTTAGAGGAAGTTGAAGAATTTATGGACCTTAGAAGTAAAGTTACTGCAGATGGAGATTCTGAAAAAAGATGTAACGTAAAGAATAAACAAAGCAATTCAAGCTTTTGCATTGCTTAATTTAGGAGTCAAAGGGATTTAGTTTGAAGACCCAACATCTAGCAGCTGATGACACCAGTTCTGGGTTGGTTTGCCATTCTTCTTTAGCCCCTGCGTTATTGTACGGTATGGCTCTATCTCTTTTTACTTTATTTTTCTCTTGATTTGTGTATTCCTTCTACTTCCCATAGACCATTCAGTATATCAACCCAGGCCATTGCTTACCTGCTTTCTCCAGTAGTTCCACCATCAAACCTGTCATCTTTTTCTTTCCTTCTGCACCCACATGCCCTGGTGCAAATATAAAACTGATTTTCATCAGCCATTACCTGCTCAGAGAATCTAGCCTCAGGCCCAACCCATCTTGATTGTCCTGAGCATACTCATTGAGTTGTTGACTGTCTGCATAGTGCCAGATATTCAGATGCCTACATATGTTTATATACAACTGGTCTATATGTGATCCATGTATCAGATGGGCAAGGTGTCCCTGAGTTGTGAATTGTGGGATAATCTTTAGATTAAATGGTACCTGCAAATGTTAAAAAAGCAACCATGAATAAAACAGGTTGTTGCCCTGAAGTGAGCTAATGATAGGGACAATTGTCTTTTAAACACCCGTGAAATTTATTTTCATTTTTCAGCTACTTTGATTTTTGTTGAAATCAACACTGAATAGTTTCATGTTTATTCAGAGATCCATTGTATAATTAAGTGGTGATTCCGCTGGCCACTTTAACCTAATGTTTCAAATTTTTGTTTGATTGATAGGGGGACCAGGCTCCAAGAAAGGTCGTTTAGTCTCCGAGCTAGTGGAAGTCTTTGATTTTACATTCATTAATGTGGAGAAGGTCATGTTACAGAAGGTAGCAGAAGCAGCCAATCAGTCTCCAACACTCACCAATGAACAAGGCGATCGTAAAGAATCTGTGCATGAACTGAAAAAGATACTGGAGGTACGTTCATTTATGCTTATATTACTAAAAGTAACTATGTTTTTAGAGTAGGCACAGCAGATGTGGTTTGTGACACAACCAGAGCTTGTTTTTTTATACATACAACACATCCAGATTTGGTTCTTTATACATACCATACAACCAGAGTTTGTTCTTGATACATGCAACACAGCTAGAGTTTGTTCTTTATACATACAACACAACCAGACAGCTAGTTCTTTATACATACAACACAACCAGAGTTTGTTCTACATACATAAAAAGCTATCATGGTTATTGTGTTCACCAAGGGCAGACAAATAAAAGAAGATGAGGAAGAAGGAGATAATTGAATAGCCATTTAAAAGGCTTTAGACACTCCCAAAAAAAAATTATGAATTATTGTAGCAGTCTGAAACGGTTGTTGCTGGTACCTTCTTGGTTCCTCTTGTATGGTATGGAAGCATAGCTCTGACTCAGAGGTTTGTGTTTCTGTCTTCGGTGATCATTTGTTCTAGACTTGCATCCATTCATCTCCATCCCTGTTAACTCTCTGAGTCCCAGGAGGTTTAGCATCACAGGCCCAAGGGGTAGTCAAGAAAGACATAAAATCTTGCTGTCCTTGGGCTTCTAGGTGGGAATCTATGAATGTATGATGCGTTTCTTGGGACTCAGAGTTAATTTACCTTATATAGCCATAGTAAAGATCCCTTTTCATGCCTTTAGGCGCATCAGGCATATGGGAAGAGCACCCATTTTTGGCTTGGACAACCTGCGACACCCCATACCATGATAAAAATCCACGCAGCCAGAAGTGGGTTTCGATCACGGTATGTTGGAATTACAAGTAAAATTCACATCACCTAAGCCACGGACGCTGCTCTTATCTGCCCATGCATAAGTTTTATCCTTAAAATGTTTGCCAGCACATTTACTCCTGCAGTTTGATTTTTATCTGCATAGGATTTCTAGTGTGCACCGTTTACACACAAAACCGCCACTGTGTGGGTCTGATATGGAAAACAACTGTGTATCCTGTTTCTAAAATGCAGTTTTTGCCTGTCCTATTCTGTTTCTTATCTCAGTTATGCATCTTCCATCTGATGTTATCCATGTGCATCAGATGGAAGATGCATAACTGAGATAAGAAACAGAATAGGACAGGCAAAAGCTACATTTTATAGAATGAAGAACATCCTGTGCAATATATCCTTGTCATTGAATCATCCGTTGCTGGGATAATACCACAGTACTAGAATCATCTGTTGACTGAATCATACGTTGATGGGATAATCCTACAGTACTAGAATCATCTTTTGACTGAATCATCTGTTGACTGAATCATCCGTTGATGGGGTAATACCACAGTACTAGAATTATCTGTTGACTGAATCATCCATTGATGGGATAATCCTACAGTACTAGAATCATCTATTGACTGAATCATCTGTTGACTGATTCATCCGTTGATGGGATAATCCCACAGTACTAGAATCATCCGTTGATGGGATAATCCCACGTACTAGAATCATCTCTTGACTGAATCATCTGTTGATGGGATAATCCCACATACTAGAATCATCTCTTGACTGAATCATCCATTGATGGGATAATCCCACAGTACTAGAATCATCTGTTGATGGGATAATTCCACATACTAGAATCATCTGTTGACTGAATCATCTGTTGATGGGATAATCCTACAGAACTATAATCATCTGTTGACTGAATCATATGTTGATGGGATAATCCCACAGTACTAGAATCATCTCTTGACTGAATCATCCGTTGATAGGATAATCCTACAGTACCAGAATCATCTCTTGACTGAATCATCTGTTGATGGGATAATCCTACAGTACTAGAATCATCTCTTGACTGAATCATCTGTTGGTGGGATAATCCTACAGTACTAGAATCATCTGTTAATTGAATCATCTGTTGATGGGATAATACCACAGTACTAGAATCATCTGTTGACTGAATCATCCATTGATGGGATAATCTCACAGTACTAGAATCATTTGTTGACTGAATCATCTGTTGATGGGATAATACCACAGTACGTGAATCATCTGTTGACTGAATCATCCATTGTTGGGATAATCCCACAGTACTAGAATCATCTGTTGACTAAATCATCCATTGATTGGATTATCCCACAGTACTTGAATCATCTGTTGACTGAATCACCTGTTGATGGTATAATACCACAGTACTTGAATCATCTGTTGACTGAATCATCTATTGATGGGATAATCCCTCAGTACTAGAATCATCTGTTTATGGGATAATCCCACAGTATTAGAATCATCTGTTGACTGAATCATCTGTTGATGGGATAATCCCACAGTACTAGAATCATCTGTTGACTGAATCATCTGTTGATAGGATAATACCACAGTACTAGAATCATCTGTTGACTGAATCATCCAATGATGGGATAATCCCACGTACTAGAATCATCTGTTGACTGAATCATCCATTGATGGGATAATCCCACAGTACTAGAATCATCTGTTGACTGAATCATCTGTTGATGGGATAATCCCACAGTACTTGAATCATCTGTTGACTGAATCATCCATTGATGGGATAATCCCACATACTAGAATCATCTGTTGACTGAATCATCCGTTTATGGGATAATCCCACGTACTAGAATCATTTGTTGACTGAATCATCTGTTGGTGGGATAATCCCACATACTAGAATCATTTGTTGTCTGAATCATCTGTTGACTGAATGATCCGTTGATGGAAGACCTGCCTTTTACAGGAGGACCCATCCACCATTTCCCTGCAGTGGATCTTGCGTGAGATCGCAGCATTGGTGGACGCAGACCCACATGGGCGCTACCTGGTGGACATGATGCCAAACCTGAAGTATGTCATCCGTTCAGCAAATTTCTCCAAGGACTGCTCAGCTCTTATGGCGCAGTTTGAGGAAAAGGTATTTCTTGCATTTGTTTCACATTTCCTGTCACGTAAGTTAATCATTGTGGCAACATTACGTGAGAATAGAAATCCCATGTATTGTAGGTGATAAACATTAGATACAACATTATGTTTGAAAGAAACCTCATGTCTTGTTGCTGCAAAATATTAGATACAACATTATGTTCGAAAGAAACCCCATGTATTGTTGGTGACAAATTTGATTTGATTTTGATTTGATTCAAGAACCGACATCACAGCACTCAGGGCATTCCCATAAGCGCTCTGTCCCCATCTTCAGCAGCCAGCGAAGAGTTTAGATACTAATGGTGCCAGTAGCTTTCTGATTAAACGTCCGTCTTGCCTTTCCTCTGAGCCTTGAGCTTCTGCCAGAACTTCTCGTCACCCCCAACTGTATCAATCTCACCAGACTGTGGTGATCCAGCTGCTCCTCCGCATTGTACACGCTCTCCCACAAGGCACTAACCACGTCTGCCTTATCATGTAGCAGTATTCCACCAAGTTGTGCAGAGCCAGCCAGTCTGTCTGCCTGTTCATTTCCCAAGACACCGGCGTAACCCGGTGAAAAAATCCAGACAATACTCCTCACTCGTGTCCTCCGCAGCGAAGCATGCCACTCTGCACGAAGCATACCTATTCTGATCTTCCTCAGCATGCTTTCTGAATCAGTTACAATTACAATGTGTGTGTGTGTCGTGTTTTCTAGCCAGCGGAAAGCTGCAGTGACCGCCTCCACCTCCATTCTTAAGCTGGATGTTGTGGTATCATATGCTAGGCTCTCCTGCACCAAACGTCGACCATTAACTTTTGCTAAAAAGCCCCAAGCACTTCTTTTGCCTCTTGACACTGAACTGTCTGTGTAAATGATCAAATCCTCTGAGCAAGCATTATCTTTAATTAATTGCTGAATTTCCACCTCTGTGACACCTGCTGGCCAGTCTCTGCATTCCTGGCTCAGCGTGATTATGACTCCACACAAGTCTGACTGCTCAGGCTTTGAGCCACTCCTCTCCTCGCCTAATGTTCTCAAGGATGCAAACCTGTCTGATTGTGTCTTCTGTCAGAGCCATCCATGACCTCCCTCTTATCAGCCGCTGACCCTTAACTGCACCCAGAGCTTCATGCAGAGGGTGGTCTGTGTCTGCAGCTACCCTGAGATATGACTTCGCCTGCATTACCTTGTGCCTACCTGCAACCGTCGGCAAACCAAGGATGTATCGCACACACACCACTGAGGTGTCTCTGGTGCAACCCAGAATGACCCGCATAGCCGCGTTCTGTATGCGCTCTAGTTTGTCCAACTGACTCTTTGAGACGGTAAGCAGTCCCAGGCCATAATCCACCACTGACAGGATCAGGTGCTGATATAGTTTGAAAAGCATTCTCTGCTCTATGTCAATTGCAGCCATAGTCTTAAGTGCACTAAGTCCTTTTTGGCATCTCGTCACAACACTCTCCCCATGATCCTTTAATGACAGGCTCCTGTCAAATGTAATTCCCAGATACTTCAGTTTGATCTCTCTGTTGACGTCTCTACCGTCTATCGTGAGACTCGGGACATTAGTTTTAACGATTCTGTTGTCCAGAGAACGCCATAAAACAGATGCCTTTTCCGGGTGGACGACAGCCTTCATTTCTCTACACCACTCAGTCACTTTGTCTACTGTCGCTTGTAGCTCCCGAGCTGTTTGTTCACTCTCTTCCCCCTGCCTATATGCAAGTATATCATCCTCAAAAGTCTGTATCCTTCCAACTCCTGGTGCTTCTAGGCTTGCAGTCTTGCTCGTATACACGTTGAAGAGCACAGGCGAGATGGCGGATCCCTGTGGCAGTCCTGGGGCCAAAGTGCATGGTTCAGAGGTCTATGAGCCCAGTCGGAGAGCAACCCGACGTGAATACAGGACAGCTGCAACCCAGTTCACCAGCCATGGATTGACTTCCTTCTCCCTCAGTGCAGTCATTAAGATGTCATATCTCACTCTGTTATAAGCATCCTCGAGATCCAGTCCAACCGCCATAGTTTCCTGTCTGTTCTGGAACCCTTCATAGACGTCAAAAGCAAAAGTGGCTGCATTTGCCCAAGTGTCCTTTCCTGGCCTGTAACTTCCCAGACCTCTTGGAAGAAGCTTCCCCCTTTCCAAAAATTCTTGTAACTTTACAGCAACTATCTTCTCCAAGACCTTCAAAATGTGTTTTGTAAGGTGATGATTCTAAAGCCACTAAGCTTAGAATGATCTTTAAAAGGTTTTGGTAGTGGGATTAGATAGCTGTGCACCCAGTCTTGCGGTACTGATGCTGTCTTAATACTCTGGTTAAAACAGTCGGCCATCTCTGCCAGGTCTACATCGCTCAAAGCCTTCATGTGACCATACCTGACATCATCAGGCCCTGGTGCAGTGTCTTTTGCTTTTTTCAAAATTTGTTTGATATCTTCCATTTGTATCATGTCTTCATAATACATATTCTTCAAGGTGCCAGCTAACTCCTTTCTAACTGCATCCCTGATGTCTACATCATTATGATCTGTCTGAGCTATAAACCTATGGAGAAAAGCCTCCCCTTTCTCCTTGTCTGTTGTCACACACACACCATCGTCTCTACAAATTGTTCCGACTGTCATAGGCCGATCTTTTCTTTGCATCTGCCTTTGCGGTTTCCAGAATTTCCTCAATGTTTTATCGCCTCCCATGTCATTCACAAAAGTTTCCCACTTTGCTCTTTTGGCCTCTGCAGCACAGCGCTTGAAAACCTCCACCTTATCTTTTTTCACATTCTCCGCCATCTCCACTTCCGCTTGAGTGTGTCTGTCGTACTTTCTTTAGCTGCTTCACTGTGGCTCTCTTTGCCTTCCATGCCTGTTCTACTTCTGGAGTCCACCATGGGGGCTGTAGAAATTTAGTTCTGGCAGTTCTTTTGCATGCTCCCCGTCTGAGGCATCCAAGTAGGTTGTTGGTCCACTTATACTGGAAGGTCTTGCGTGCTCTCCCAACCTTAACCTTACTGTGTTTAGAAATCAAGACTGAACATGGTAGGTGATCACTCCCATGGTCATTCAGGACAGTCCATTTAACATCTAAAATCGACGACTGAGAAACAAATGTCAAGACAATGGCTGTGTCTGCATCTCCAGACCTCATTGCCATTCTAGTCGGCCTCCCATCATTGATGCAGACCATATCAGAGTCAGCCATGGCCTCTGCAAGAGCAATTCCCTGTTGGTTTTCTCCACTGCTGTCCCATTCTCTTTTCCTCGCGTTGAAATCCCTACATTTGAGTAACCCATCACCTGGTAACTCCTCCAATTCCTTGAGCCAGCTCCATTGTTCACTTGTGACAAAACAGTCTACCGTGGCATATATATTCATGAGGTTCCAACTTAAGCCACCAATTTCCACCTGTATCCCTTGAACCTCTCGTCCACTGTGGTTCCACTGGCTCAAGTCAAGCACCACATGCTTCACTCCCTCCTTTACCACTAGGCCTTGTCCATGTCTCTCCTGTCCAACAGGGTTTATATAACTGACGTTGTTGGTGACAAACATTTGATACAGTATTATGTTAAAATAGAAAATTCATGTATTGTTGATGACAAACATTAAAAACCTTAATGTATTAGAATAGAAACCCCATGTATTATGTATTGTTGATGACAAACATCACTAGAGTATAACATGAAAACTTCTCTCTTCACCCGCTGTCCATTTCCAGTACACAATATCATTCAGTATATACTTCTCCCTGAACATTAACAACAAGAGCAAGAATTCCAAGAAAGTGCAGGAGGTCGTCAAGGAGGAGAACACTGAGGATAAAGGTGGATTTCAGTCAGATGAGGTGGATTTGTCACGGACAAAGGTTGGTTTCACCTGGTTATGTGGTTTCCTTTCCTCTATGTTGAGTACATGGTACCGGTGTGTCAGGGTGAGGTTGCTGGTATGTCAGGGTAAGGTTGCAGGTATGTCAGGGTGAGGTTGCGGGTATGTCAGAGTAAGGTTGCAGGTATTAAAGGGTGAGGTTGCAAGTATGTCAGAGTGAGGTTGCAGGTATTTGAGGGTGAGGTTGCAGGTATGTCAGACTGAGGTTGCAGGTATTAAAGGTTGAAAAAAATAAAAATAAAAATAAAGGTCCCTTTTCCACACCTAAAGGCATATAGGGCTAGACCTAAATTTTATAGACCAATTGGCATCACGCCGGCTGCCTCTACTTCCCAGGACTGCACCTGGTACCCACTCAAGGCTGGGTCGACCTGGGAGCCAAGGTCATTTTTGAAAAAGTCCGGCTCCGCCAAGGAGCGAACCCACAACCTTCTGATCCGCGGCTAACATCTAGCCGTTCCGCCATGGTGACTCCCGATTAAAGGGTGAGGTTGCAAATATTAAAGAGTGTGGTTGCAGGTGTGTCAGGGTGATGTTGCAGGTATTAAAGGATGAGGTTGCAGGTATTTGAGGATGAGGTTGCATGTATGTCAGGGTGAGGTTGCAGGTGTCGGGGTGAGGTTGCAGGTATTTGGGGATGAGGTTACAGGTATGGGAGGTTGTAGGTATGTCAGGGTGAGGTTGCAAGCATGTCAGGGTGAGGTTGCAGGTATTTGAGGGGGAGTTTTCAGTTATTTGAAGGTGAGGTTGCAGGTATGTCAGGGTAAGGTTGCAGGTGTTGGGCTTGAGGTTGCAGGTATTTGAGGATGAGGTTGCAGGTATGTGAGGTTGCAGGTATGTGAGGTTGCAGGTATGTGAGGTTGCAGGTATCAGGGTGAAATTGCAGGTATATCAGGATGAGGTTGTGGGTATGTGAGGGTGAGATTACAGGTATGTCAGGGTAAGGTTGCAGGTGTGGCAGGTATTGAGGATGAGGTTGCAGGTATGTGAGGTTGCAGGTATGTGAGAGTGCAGGTATGTGAGGGTGAGGTTGCAGGTATGTAATGGTGAGGTTACAGGTATGTGAGAGTGCAGGTATGTGAGGTTGCAGGTATGTAAGGGTGGGGTTACAGGTATGTGAGAGTGCAGGTATGTGAGGGTGGGGTTGCAGGTATATCAGGATGAGGTTGTAGGTATGTGAGGGTGAGATTACAGGTATGTGAGGTTGCAGGTAATGTCAGGGTGAGGTTGCAGGGATGTCAGGGTGAGGTTACAGGTATGTGAGGTTGCATGTATGTCAGGGTGAGGTTGCAGCTATGTCTGGGTAAGGTTGCAAGTATGAGAGGATAAGGTTACAGGTATGTCAGGGTGAGGTTGCATGTATGTCAGGGTGAGGTTGCAGCTATGTCTGGGTAAGGTTGCAAGTATGAGAGGATAAGGTTACAGGTATGTCAGGGTGAGGCTGCAGCTATGTCTGGGTAAGGTTGCAAGTATGAGAGGATAAGGTTACAGGTATGTCAAGGTGAGGTTGCAGCTATGTCTGGGTAAGGTTGCAAGTATGAGAGGATAAGGTTACAGGTATGTCAGGGTGAGGCTGCAGGTATGTCTGGGTAAGGTTGCAAGTATGAGAGGATAAGGTTACAGGTATGTCAGGGTGAGGTTGCAGCTATGTCTGGGTAAGGTTGCAAGTATGAGAGGATAAGGTTACAGGTATGTCAGGGTGAGGCTGCAGGTATGTCAGGGTGAGGTTACTGGTATCTAAAAGTGAGGTTACAAGTTTGTGAGGGTGGCTTGCAGGTATGTCAGGGTGAGGTTGCAGGTATGTCAGTGTGAGGGTGTCTTTCCAGGACATATGTTCTAATCAGATTAGATGTTTTTGTGGAAATGTCAAAGGCGGCAGAAAAATGTGTTGGTACCTTCCCTTTGCAAGACTTACTTTCAATAATTGTCTCTTGCAATTTGTTGAAATTTTGTTGCTTTTATAGTCTATTTATTTTACTTTCTGTTGTTTGTCTTTACGCTACTAACATATGGTTGTATGGTTAATTTTTGTCTAGAAAAGAGCATCTATGTTTGAAAACAGTGTCCGGCCATTTCTTCAATACTTCGATAAGTCAGAGCGGCTTGTGACGGTGGATGTGTCGTGCCGAAATGCAGATGCCGTTCTCAGTCGATTGTCTGATTTTTTTGGTGGACTTGGTTTCCAGAACTTGAAACCACTCAGCTCTGTAGTTGTGTTCATCTTTGGTAAGTGTTGTATGCTACCATGAAAGCGTTGTATGTCTTACTTTATTCTTGTCAGTCCTCTGTCAGGTGAGATCATCCCTCTGAAAGTCAGGAATACTCCTGTTTTTTGCTTTTGTGTAGTCACCCTAACAGTTTAATTGACTTGTTTTTGCTTATTCTGTGGCATAGCTCTGCTCACTTCTCACCTTTTACCACCACAATAACCAGCTTTTTGAAACAGCCAACTTTTTCCCATGTTTCCAGATGAAGAATATGACTAGGTTTAACGACTCTTTCTTTTGGCATTTTGCAATTCCTTTACAGGGGAATGCTTATTTGCCCAAGCTTTTTCCACCACATAATTTTAGCCGGGATTGTTTCTTCTTGCTGTGTTGATTTCTGTGCTTGTTGCGCTTGATTTTACCCACCACATTCCGCCCTGTATTGTCATACTGGAAACTTTAGGCTTGTGCTTCCTAGATCAGCCATACTCCACCAACATGCTGTGCTGTTGTGATCACTGCAGTGGTGTCCTAGAACATCCCATCTGCATATTGTAAGTAAAGTAAAGTGAAGATCCCTTTTCACGCCTTTAGGCGTATCGGGCATATGGGAAGAGCGCCCATATTTTTACAGACCACCAGCACTCAGTGGGCAATGTTGTCAGCATTATGCCGGCCGTCTCTACTTTCCCAGGACAGCCCATCCTGGTACATATTTTAGGCTGGGTCGACCTGCGACGCCCCATACCATGATAAAAATCCATGCAGCCAGCAGTGGGTTTCGATCACGGTACGTTGGTATTACGAGTTGGACTCGCAACACCTAAGCCACAGGCGCTGCGTTCCTGCTTACTCTAGTGAAGCAGAAACCAGAGCCAGGTCAGTAGCACTGTCGTCATAACCTGGTTGACTTACTGTTCTGGTGACACACCCACTGTTGCTTCCCCATGATATGCCCTTAGCATCGAAATCTCCACACCAAATAACATTCTTCCCTTAGCATCAAAATCTCCACACCTACTGACATTCTTCCCTTAGCATTGAAATCTCCACACCAAATAACATTCTTCCCTTAGCATCGAAATCTCCACACCTACTGACATTCTTCCCTTAGCATCAAAATCTCCACACCTACTGATATTCTTCCCTTAGCATTGAAATCTCCACACCAAATAACATTCTTCCCTTAGCATCGAAATCTCCACACCAAATAACATTCTTCCCTTAGCATCGAAATCTCCACACCAAATAACATTCTTCCCTTAGCATCGAAATCTCCACACCAAATAACATTCTTCCCTTAGCATCGAAATCTCCACACCAAATAACATTCTTCCCTTAGCATCGAAATCTCCACACCAAATAACATTCTTCCCTTAGCATCGAAATCTCCACACCTACTGACATTCTTCCCTTAGCATCGAAATCTCCACACCTACTGACATTCTTCCCTTAGCATCGAAATCTCCACACCTACTGACATTCTTCCCTTAGCATCGAAATCTCCACACCTACTGATATTCTTCCCTTAGCATCGAAATCTCCACACCAAATAACATTCTTCCCTTAGCATCGAAATCTCCACACCTACTGACATTCTTCCCTTAGCATCGAAATCTCCACACCTACTGACATTCTTCCCTTAGCATCACAATCTCCACACCTACTGACATTTTTCCCTTAGCATCACAATCCCCACACCTACTGACATTCTTCCCTTAGCATCGAAATCTCCACACCTACTGACATTTTACCCTTAGCATCGAAATCCCCACACCTACTGACATTCTTCCCTTAGCATCGAAATCTCCACACCTACTGACATTCTTCCCTTAGCATCGATATCTCCACACATTCTTCTCGGTACAATTTTTTTATTCAGGCACTACTACCTCTGAGAATTCACGCTGGCATTGCAGGCATAAACATTCACCAAAAAAGGACACACAGATTGAATTCTGAACACTTGTATTTGTATCTTGTCGCTGTCCCACTTAGACATGTCCATCTATGAAGCCTTTAAACTGTCTCGAATAAGTATGGTGAAACCCACATGTCACCTGTTGTAAAAATCATTAAACTTTACCATTTGAAGTGTGTGATCACCAAGACGCATCTCGTGTAGAGCTAGAGTATCGTTATTGAACGCCAAGGGCTCCAGATTAGGCCTTTGTTTTGTAGCTTAATTCTAGTATAATATTTTAATGTTGCTGAAGATGGATGCATTGGAGCTATGTTCTTTAAGCTAAAGCTCGCTTTTTATCGACCTCGCTGACTTCGAGGTTTGTTTGCTTTGTTTATGAGGCACAAACACTGGTCCGCCACGACGAGGGGAAACAAGCAGACACAGTATCAGTTGAGCATACACACTGAAAGACAAAACTTGAGGATGGTTTCACACGGATACACAAACTCCGTAGCACTAACAAAAACCTTAAAGGAACAAAAACTTCTGGTTTACATCCTGGCTTAGATAATTACATGTAAGGGGCGATAACTATCCATCTTTTACATGAAATTGATCATGTCTTGAAATAACCCACAACCGTTGGCTGCCATTGTTGTTGTCTCTGTATGTATCTATATCTAGTATATCATTCTCTCTGAGAATATCTGTGTGAAGTGTGTCAATATGTATCAGTGTATCTATATGTGTATCATTATCGCTACGTGTATCTATATGTAATGTGTCATCCTGTAACAAGTAATGTTTTCTGTGAGCAGATTCTAAAGCCGTGGATGCAGACCTGCTACAGGAGCATGATATTGAGTATGTGAAGCTGGAGAAGCATGGCACAAGGTTATCACTGGCATCTTTGGTAGGTTGTTTCTGAGTCTCTTCAGCTGACTGTTTGGACATCTATAGTTCTCTAATGACCCCAGCTGACTGTTTGGACATCTAGAGTTCTCTAATGACCCCAGCTGATAGAGTGGGCATCTAGGGTTCTCTAGTGGCCCCAGCTAACTGTGTGGACATCTAGAGTTCTCTAGTGGCCCTAGCTAACTGTGTGGACATCTAGAGTTCTCTAGTGGCCCTAGCTGACAGAGTGGACATCTAGAGTTCTCTAATGGTCCCAGCTCACTATGTGAACATCTAGAGTTCTCTAATGACCCCAGCTGACAGAGTGGACATCTAGAGTTCTCTAATGACCCCAGCTGACAGAGTGGACATCTAGAGTTCTTTAGTGGTCCTAGCTCACTATGTGAACATCTAGAGTTCTCTAATGACCCCAGCTGACTGTGGAGACATTTAGAGTTCTCTAATGACCCCAGCTGACTGTGTGGACATCTAGAGTTCTCTATTGGCCCCAGCTGACAGAGTGGACATCTATAGTTCTCTGGTAATCTGGTAATCCTAGTTCTCTAATGACCCCAGCTGACAGAGTGGACATCTAGAGTTCTCTTGTGGCCCTAGCTAACTGTGTGGACATCTAGAGTTCTCTATTGGCCCCAGCTGACAGAGTGGACATCTAGAGTTCTCTAATGACCCCAGCCGACAGAGTGGATATCTAGAGTTCTCTATTAGCCCCAGCTGACAGAGTGGACATCTAGAGTTCTATGATGTGTGTCTGATATGGTGATTGCCTGATCTGCCAGTATGATGCTGTTAGAAAGTGTGTGTATATGCGTGCGTTAGTGCGTGGGTGTGCGTATGTGTGACATGGTTATTGCCTCATCTGCCAAGGTGATACTGTGAGAACATATGTGTGTGTTTGTATGTATCATGTATGTATCTCTGACATGGTGATTGCCTGATTTCCCCCAAGGTGATGCTGTGAGAACATATGTGGTGTGTGTGTGTGTATGTATCTCTGACAAAATGATTGCCTGATTATCCCCCCTCCCCCAAGGTGATGCTGTGAGAACATATGTGGTGTGTGTGTGTGTATATATCTCTGACAAAATGTATACCTCTAACATGGTGATTGCCTGATTTCCACCCCCCCCCCCCCCTTTTCCCCCAAGTGATGCTGTGAGAACATATGTGGTGTGTGTGTATATACCTCTGACATGGTGATTGCCTGATCCGCCAGGATGATGCTGTGAGAATGTTTGTGAACAAACTCAACCACAAGGAGCACAAGACTTACCTGGTAGACCTCAGCGCCACAAATATAACCAAACAGACCACAGTCGAGGTGAGTTGTATGTGTCTGCACAAGTATGTAATGTGTGTGTGTTTGTGCATCAGTGAAGGCTGTGCATGTGGTAGTGTGTCCTGGACGCATCTCATGTATTGCATTGTTGATTATTGTGAAACTCATGTTGGACACAGCAGCTCTCTGTGTGGTATGTACAGGGTCAGTCGGAAATATGGCTGTATGTTTACCCAGACATTAAATCATATGACACTGGTATGTCTACAGTTAGTCGACATATCATCCTCGTTGCACAGCAAACCAGTCAGTCTATAAATGCTCCATTCCCTTTCACAGTAAATCACACAGAGTGTAGCGGCTGATGACACCAGTTCTCTGTTGGTTTATTATTCTTCTTTTGCTTCCTGCATAGTGATTTTGCATGGCCACATCCAATTAACTTGCAGCTAATCATGGTCACAGATTTAATAATTGGTTCTTGCAAATGTCTTCTCATAGAGCATAAAGTCTGAAAGCCTGTCTATGGCTTGTTCCTTCTATATTAGCCTTATGGGCAAGCATATCAGCTTACTCATTTCCTTATACACCTGCATATCTGGGCATGAAAATGAAAGTGAACTTTGTCAGCAGTGACCACCTCAGAGACACCAAGCACTGTCTTCAGGCCCAGTCCATCTATGTCTTCCTGGGCATACACTTTGAATCGATGAGACAACATGCCTGAGTGAAAGTGTGTGTCTACAGCCAGGTTACTGTTTTATATACTGCTGCCGTGACCCCAGCAATCAGACCTCTTATTTCCTATGTGTGTTCCTAATATGCATGATGGAAAAAAAATGACTAATTAGGACGGTTTTCTTTGAAGTCATAACAAGTCTGTCTGAGAACACATCTGCCTGAACAGCAAGGAATTAGCAGCTGTACACAAATAAGCCAGATCTGTAAAACAGATATGCATTTCTAGAATAAGGTCAAGGTCCTGAAGTGGAAAAAACAACCAGAGTTTTCAGCTGGTGAATACAAAGAAGAAACAGAATAATGTCCTTGGCTTGACCCATTGATGATTTTAGTGTCTGCAAGATGTCACAGTGGAAGTAGGTGGCTTGTCCCATTGATGATTTTAGTGTCTGCAAGATGTCACAGTGGAAGTAGGTGGCTTGACCCGTCAATGACTTAAGCGTGTGCAAGATGTCACAGTGGAAGTAGTTGGCTTGTCCCATTGATGATTTTAGTGTCTGCAAGATGTCACAGTGGAAGTAGGTGGCTTGTCCCATTGATGATTTTAGTGTCTGCAAGATGTCACAGTGGAAGTAGGTGGCTTGACCCATTGATGATTTTAGTGTCTGCAAGATGTCACAATGGAAGTAGGTGGCTTGACCCATTGATGATTTTAGTGTCTGCAAGATGTCACAATGGAAGTAGGTGGCTTGACCCATCGATGACTATAGTGTGTGCAAGATGTCACAATGGAAGTAGGTGGCTTGACCCGTCAATGACTTAAGCGTGTGCAAGATGTCACAATGGAAGTAGGTGGCTTGACCCATCGATGATTTTAGTGTGTGCAAGATGTCACAATGGAAGTAGGTGGCTTGACCCATCGATAACTATAGTGTGTGCAAGCTGTCACAATGGAAGTAGGTGGCTTGACCCGTCAATGACTTAAGCGTGTGCAAGATGTCACAATGGAAGTAGGTGGCTTGACCCATGGATGATTTTAGTGTGTGCAAGATGTCACAATGGAAGTAGGTGGCTTGACCCATCGATGACACTAGTGTGTGCAAGATGTCACAGTGGAAGTAGGTGGCTTGACCGGTCGATGACTTTAGTGTGTGCAAGATGTCTCAGTGGAAGTAGATGGCTTGACCCATTGATGACTATAGTGTGTGCAAGATGTCACAATGGAAGTAGGTGGCTTGACCCGTCAATGACTTAAGCGTGGGCAAGATGTCACAATAGAAGTAGATGGCTTGACCCATGGATGACTTTAGTGTGTGCAAGATGTCACAGTGGAAGTAGGTGGCTTGACCCATCGATGACACTAGTGTGTGCAAGATGTCACAATGGAAGTAGGTGGCTTGACCCATCCATGACTTTAGTGTGTGCAAGATGTCACATTGGAAGTAGGTGGCTTGACCCATCAATGACTTTAGCGTGTGCAAGATGTCACAAAGGAAGTAGGTTAGGGACAAATGTACCTGAGTCTCATTAGTTTTCATTGATGCTGCTGACAGGAAAACATAAGAATTCTGTTGTTAACTGTTTGACGAGAACTGTAATGTTATATGGAGGTGATAACTATATAATACAGTGTTATCTGGAGTTGAGAACAATATAATATAATGTTATCTGGAGGTGAGAACTATATAATATAATGTTATCTGGTGGTGAAAACTATATTATATAATGTTATCTGGAGGTGAGAACAATATAATATTATGTGGAGGTGAGAATTATATAATATAATGTTATCTGGAGGTGAGAACTATAAAATATAATGTTATCTGGGGGTGAGAACTAAATAATATAATGTTATCTGGGGGTGGGAACAATATAATATTATGTGGAGGTGAGAACTGTATAATATAATGTTATCTGGAGGTGAGAACTATATAATATAATGTTATCTGGAGGTTAAAACTATATTATATAATGTTATCTGGAGGTGAGAACTATATAATATAATGTTATCTGGGGGTGAGAACTATATAATATAATGTTATCTGGAGGTGAGAACTATATAATATAATGTTATCTGGAGGTGAGAACTATATAATATAATGTTATCTGGAGGTGGGAACAATATAATATTATGTAAAGGTGAGAACTATATAATAGAATGTTATCTGGAGGTGAGAACTAAATAATATAATGTTATCTGGGGGTGAGAACTAAATAATATAATGTTATCTGGGGGTGAGAACTAAATAATATAATGTTATCTGGAGGTGAGAACTAAAAAATATAATGTTATCTGGGGGTGAGAACAATATAATATTATGTGGAGGTGAGAACTATATAATATAATGTTATCTGGAGGTGAGAACTATATAATATAATGTTATCTGGGGGGTGAGAACTAAATAATATTATCTGGAGGGGAGAACAATATAATATTATGTGGAGGTGAGAACTATATAATATAATGTTATCTGGGGGTAAGAACTTTATAATAGAAGGTTATCTGGAGGTGAGAACTATATAATATAATGTTATCTGGGGGTGAGAACTAAATAATATAATGTTATCTGGGGGTGAGAACTAAATAATATAATGTTATCTGGAGGTGAGAACTATATAATATAATGTTATCTGGGGGGTGAGAACTATATAATATAATGTTATCTGGGGGTGAGAACTAAATAATATAATGTTATGTGGAGGTGAGAACTATATAATATAATGTTATCTGGAGGTGAGAACTATATAATATAATGTTATGTGGAGGTGAGAACTATATAATATAATGTTATCTGGGGGTGAGAACTAAATATAATATAATGTTATCTGGAGGTGAGAACTATATAATATAATGTTATCTGGGGAGTGAGAACTATATAATATAATGTTATCGGGGGTGAGAACTATATAATATTATGTTATCTAGAGGTGAGAACTATGTAATATAATGTTATTAGGGGGTGAGAACCAGATAATATTATGTTATCAGGGGGTGAGAACTAAATAATATAATGTTATCGGGGGTGAGAACTATATAATAGAATGTTATCTGGAGGTGAGAAATGACTACAGCATCTTTTGCTCACTAATCACTATCACCAGGTCGGCAAGTCAGTGATAGTGTTTGTCAACGAGGCCAACATCGAACGCTACTTCAACATCCCAGGCTGCCAGGGCAAGTTCAAGGCAGTATCGTCCCTGGAAAATGCTGTCTGCGTCTTCCCGACAGACACCAACCCAGACCTGTGCAAGAAGATCACTGTGGCATTCAATAACGAGATCTCCGCAGCCAAGGGCAAGCACTCTGTTGAACTCGGATGATGATGTGTGAATATTGCAGACTGCATTTTTTTAGTACTTTGAATAATAACAATCCATGTCAGTTATTTATGTCTGCTTGATGCACTTAAACAATCAATACACAATCCGCATTTGATATAGTCTATTTTGGTTATATGGGTAACCTCTTCTTTATATTGCAAAATAATGTCATGATAATAACTAGTATTATTGTTGCCATCATAACTTGAACTGTTGCTGGTTCGTTCAGTGTATTTTTTAACTGACAAACTGAAATTGTTGTCATCAGAATATATTTGTCTGTCTGTGCGAAAGTCAGAATTTAGTGTTTAAATGTTTGATGATTATCACTTTTGTTAATGGACTATCATTTATGTCTGTGTGGTAAATTCATTTCTCTGTGTGTTGTAGGTTGTTATGTCTGTCTGCATGATAGATTGTTATTCTGTGAGTGTGGCAGATTGTTATTTCTGTCTGTGTGATAGATTATCATTTCTGCCTGTGTGGTAGATTGTAATTTCTGTCTGTATTATAGATTGTTATGTCTGTCTGTTTGATAGATTGTTATTCTGTGAGTGTGGCAGATTGTTATTTCTGTCTGTTTGATAGATTATCATTTCTGCCTGTGTGGTAGATTGTAATTTCTGTCTGTATTATAGATTGTTATGTCTGTCTGTTTGATAGATTGTTATTCTGTGAGTGAGGCAGATTGTTATTTCTGTCTGTGTGATAGATTATCATTTCTGCCTGTGTGGTAGATTGTAATTTCTGTCTGTATGATAGATTGTTATGTCTGTCTGTGTGATATTTTGTCATTTCTGTATGTGTGGTATATTATTTCTTTCTGTGTGATAGATTGTCATTTCTGTATTGTGATAGTTATTTCTGTATTAGTAATAGAGGGGGTTGTGACAAGGGCTCAAAAAGGTCTAAATGCACTAAAGCTTATGGTAGCGATGGACATGGAGCAGAGAATGCTGTTCACACTTTACCAGCGCTTAATAAGCTCAGTGATCGATTATCGAAGAGTCAGCTAGAGAAACTGGAGCGCATACAGAATGAAGCTATGTGCTGATCCTGGGATGTACAAGAGACACCCCGATTGTGTGCATGCGATACATCCTTGCATTGCTGACAATTGCAGATAGGCTAAAGGTGCTGTAGGCTAAGTCATACCTCAGAGTAGCTGCAAAGAATACCCTCTGTATGAAGCTTTGGCTGCAGGTAAGGGTCAGAGGCTGAAAAGGGGAGAATCGTGGATGGCTCAAGCAGAAGACACAATAAGACAAGTATTCATGCTGGAGAACATTGGGCGAGGAGAGGAGTGGGTCAGAGTACCAGCAGAAAAGTCTGACCTGTGTAGGGTTGTGATATAATTGGGCCGGGTGTGCAGAGAGTGGCCATTGGGTGCTACAGAGGTTGAAGTCTAACAGTAGATTCACGACAATTCATGCCCAGGTGATCTGATTATGTATACAGATGGTTCAGTGTTAAGAGGAAAGAGAAGTGCCTGGGGGTTCGTAGCGAAAGCCAATGGAAAATCTTTAGTGCAAGGCAGCCTAGCATTTGACACCACAATATCTAGCATGAAAATGGAGGTAGAGGCGGTAACTGCAGCTCTCTGGTGGCTAGAGAACAAAATGCATACACATGTTGTAATTGTAACAGACTCTGAAAGTATGCTGAAAAAAGTGAAGACAGGGATGTTTCGAGCAGAGTGGCAAGCTTTACTGGAAAGGTCACGGGTGGTGAGCATACTGTGGATCTTTTCTCCAGACTATGTGGGCATGGTGGGTAATGAACATTGGCTGGATCTGCAACACTGGGTGGTGAATTGATACATGACAAGGCAAATGTGGTCAAGGCCCTTTGGGAACAAGCAATGGAATCAGCAGAGAAAGAAGATTATTATGGCCCGGAGAGAATGAGGCACCTGGATGTAATCAGAGGGTCTGGCTGGCTTACTGCGCTCAGAGGAAAGGCAAGACGGACATTTAACCAGATTGTGACAGGTACCGTCAGTATTGGAACTCTGTAAATTGATACATGACAAGGCAAATGAGGTCAAGGCCCTTTGGAAACAAGCAATGGAATCAGTAGAGAAAGAAGATTATTATGGCCCAGAGAGAATGAGGCACCTGGATGTAATCAGAGGGTCTGGCTGGCTTACTGCGCTCAGGGGAAAGGCAAGACGGACATTTAACCAGATTGTGACGGGTACCGTCAGTATTGGAACTCTGTGCTGGCTGCTGAAGATGAGAATGGAGCATGCATGGGAATGCCCCGAGTGCTGTGCTGTGATGTCAGTTCTTGACTCAGCTCAACTCAACTCAACTCTAGTAATAGATTGTCATTTCTGTATGTGTGATAGATTGTCATTTCTGTATGTGTGATAGATTGTCATTTCTGTCTGTGTGATAGATTGTAATTTCTGTCTAAATGATAAATTGTCATTTCTGCCTGAATGATAAATTGTCATGTCAATCTGCATGGTAAATTGTCATTTCTGTCTGCATGATAAGATTATCATTTTTACCTGTATGATAGGTTGTTTTTTCTATCTCTGTAATATATTATTCATGTGTCAGTGTGATAGACAGTCATTATGTCTGTGTGATAGATTGTCATTCTATCTGTGTGATAGATTGTCATTCTATCTGTGTGATAGATTGTCATTCTATCTGTGGGATGGATTGTCATTCTATCTTTGTGATAGATTGTCATTCTATCTGTAGGATGGATTGTCATTCTATCTGTGTGATAGATTGTCATTCTATCTGTGGGATGGATTGTCATTCTATCTGTGGGATAGATTGTCATTCTATCTGTGTGATAGATTGTCATTCTATCTGTGGGATAGATTGTCATTCTATCTTTGTGATAGATTGTCATTCTATCTGTGGGATGGATTGTCATTCTATCTTTGTGATAGATTGTCATTATGTCTGTTTTGTGAGAGTTTCAAATGTCTACATGTCAACTAGAATACTTTAAAATGAAACTGAGAGATATCAAAGATCTTGTGTAGAGTTTGCCAGGAACAGTCATCTCATGTTTTCTTCTCTTATCCTGGTCTCATTCAGGGCTTTTTTTTTCTCAGCAGCATGCGGCACCAGTACCTTTGTGGAAAGGGGGGGGGGGTCACTGAGTGCAGTCTGATACATGCATGTTTGGAAAACCAGAATTTCTTTCTCAGTTATTATTTTCAACACGTTGATGTCTTGCAGTTTCCAGGCATCAACCTTCTCCGCAATAATACCACAACATGCACACTGCATGTATTTTAAATGTGCAGCCGAATTTCTGACTCTTCCTGTGTATGTCTTCTCTGATGTGGGTCAACATTGTATAATAAACCTAGCTCTCTTGTGTAGAAAAACTAGATAAGTTCCTCTCTTGTATTGGTAAACCTTAAATAACAAACATGCTTATCTGTTTAGTTAAATGTTAGTCAATCCCATTATTATCTTGTGTAGTTAAACGTTAGTCAATCCCATTATTATCTTGTGTAGTTAAACGTTAGTCAATCCCATTATTATCTTGTGTAGTTAAACGTTAGTCAATCCCATTATTATCTTGTGTAGTTAAACGTTAGTCAATCCCATTATTATCTTGTGTAGTTAAACGTTAGTCAATCCCATTATTATCTTGTCTAGGTAAACTTTAGACAATAAACATTCCTCTTTTGTATAGGCAAGCTCCCTGTATGGGTTCTGGGCCCTATCAAAGGGAAAACAAGAATAGACCTGCTGCCTACCCAAAAGCATGTCGTAAGAGTCAACTAATTAGAGCTTCCTTTAAAGTCGGAGTGCATTTACCTAAGAGGCAAGGAACCAGCAGTCTGTATACAAATGACACAGATCTGTAAAACGGATGCACACGCAACACTCAGGTTCTGGAAAAGGACTGCAGTCTAGAAGTTGGTGAACAACCAGAACTCTCCGCCAGAGTTTACAGCTGGTGAACCCGAAGAAGAAGTCTGGTTTGGTAGTCTTAGTTTAAGCTTCATAGCAAACGGGTCATCCCCATCGCTGCTTCGCTCCTGTGCCAACGAAAAACATACAGAATGTTTATCACAGTCCCTTGTGGAAAGACTGACAAAATGCTGTCTCAGCATATCTAGCATACATATGCATTACAAGCATCCAAACAGTCCAGCATTAGAAATGCAGTTCATCATTGATGGTAGCAGAAGTCACTAACAGATCAGCCAAAGCACACGCGATCAATTTTGGCACCACCAACACTGCGACATTTTATGAATCTACAGTTCACACCACCACGTAGGTCACAGTTGAAAAAACATTCCAAATGAAATCCACAGCTCACAGTGTCACGCTATGCATTCAACTCAGAAGCTGAGGGATGACACTATATCCTTTCAGTCTACAATGTCTACAAATGGAGCAAAAATGCAGCGACTACCGTCTGGTAGAAGCAGAAAATTTGCCTCGGCTCCAAACAGTGCCTGTGCCTAGCGTCCATTTTGCCCGGAAGTAGTATAGGCAAACTTTAAATAATAAACATTCCTGTTATGTATGGGTAAACTTTAAATCTTCTTCTTTGTGTTCACCAGCTGTAAACTCTGGCGGAAAGTTCTGGTTGTTCATCCACTTTTGGACTGCAGTCCTGTTCCAGAACTTGAGTGTTGCGTGTGCATCCGTTTTACAGATCAGACTCATCTAATTGCAGACTTCTGGTTCCTTGCCTTTCAGGCAGATGCACTCCAACTTCAAAGGAAGCTTCCAATTAGTCTACTCTTACGACATGTTTTTGAGTAGGCAGCGGGTCTATTCTTGTTTCCCCTATAATAGGGCCCCGGAACCCACACAGGGTAAACTTTAGAAGATTACATTCCTGATGTGTATAGTAAAAGTAAAGTGAAGGTTCCTTTAAATGCCAGTGGCCACTCGGGCATATCAGGCAGGACTCATATTTGTATAGACCAGTCCACCATTGATGGTTTATGTGGTCAACCATCACGCCGGTCACCTTTACTTTCCATGACTTTACCTGGTAGC